CTTTTTATTAAAATTACCACTAATAAATTTGCTATTGTTATCAAAGTTAAGGTTCCTTGATTTTTTCCTTTAAAAATCGCACTTTCCAGACTCTTATTTGGAGTAGCATCGCATATTTTAGTATTATTTGTTCTCATAGAAAAAATATTTTTGATATCTAAAAATACATACACTGTAATTAAAAAAATCTAATATTGATCTATCAAAAAATGGTTTCATTTATTACACTCTAACTAACACTGACGTCTAATACGGAAAGAAAATTCTGGGATTCATTAGGAATTCGAAGAGTTGAGCTTCCTCCGAATCGATAACTTCATTTTGTAGTCATTTTACGTGTGCAACAATTTTACTACATAGTTGGAAAATTGGCAGACTTTTCCAATATCTACTACTTCACAGCTTTAATTTGTGGAAATGTGAATTATGGTTATTACTAATACATTCCGAGACACATTCTAAATGATAGAGAACAGTGATTCCGAGTTTAAACATTTTTTAAACCATGAAAAGAGAGCACGAGTATAGTGCTGGTGCTCTTGCAGGTAGGTATTCTTATACCTACCAACTTGTCAACGTGCCAAGAATATTATTGATGTTGCGTTTTAATCACACAATTTATTTTATAAAAACCTTTGCTGCGGTATTAAATGTTGTAGTGGTTTGGAAATTAACTCATGAAAGTAGAAAATTGATCGAAAAGTCTTGGCATGTTTCTCTTGTACATTTAACCACATTTTTTTACAACAATTTCACTTAATTTCCCATGAGATTTTGATTGCAAATCCTCAATAATAATTTTACCACTGTGAGGAAAAAATGTGTAATGTTTTTGTATCAACAGGTTCAACGAAGCTCGACGGGTAAGCGTTGGGCATAATTTTCTTTGGTTATACAATGCAAATGCTCTGCATTAACATTGATGTTCATTCAAAATTTGTTCTGAATACTTTGTTCTGTTCAGATAATTATTCTACATGAATTGCTCTTTATATTAACAGCGGGGAATCACTAAATCAATGAATCAATCAAGAGACATTGTAAACATTTTAAACTCACGTCTATCTTAGTATGATGATTTGAATTTTTTTCATACCTAATTATGAAATGTTTCATTTTATTTCATTTCTCTTGCACAATAAAAACGAAAATTTGCCAAACTATGTTGTCAGTTAAAATGGATTAAATTTAATAAACGAAATTGTTCCAAAAAGTTATTTTATAACAAAACTTATGTAATGTGTTGAATCACAGATGATGAATTGTGGGAACAACAAGAGAGGATTATTTTAATACCTGAACAAATTAGCATAAACATAAAACACGTTTCACATAGTTAGCGATTTTTTTTTCAGTTTTTTGTTGATCTTTCTGAAGCAGCAACTCTATACCCTTAAAAGGGCAAATAGAGAGAAATGCAGTAAAAAATGAGCAAACTGCCCCGAGCAAATATCTTGCTATGCAAAACCTTGATTGATATCCATTTGCCCCCACTAAAACTACCCTGGAGCGCTTAGGTGTGTATAATGATTTTATAAATATTTGCATAAAATTCCGAAGAGAATAGTTTTGATTTAAGTCGAATTGTAATTTTGTTTCTTCAGTTTCAATTCTTAAAAATCAGAGTTTCACAACGACTGGTTTTGGTGGAGGTATAAGTAGGTGTTTTAGGCATGTTCAGTCCAAAGACCCGTGTGTAATAATGGAACAACTTTCTATTTTATTTAGCGAATTGTGAATCCAATTTGATTCTTTGACATAAATTACAGAAAGTAAATTGCAAAAACACAATAGAATGTTGTTGTAGAACCTTGGTACTTATGGGTGCAGTTGTTAATAAACTATAGTCACGTGCGCGCACTTGTACAAAAAAAGCTTGGAAGTAGAGTGACCAATGTCAAATTCCTGTTTGGACATAATTATCATAATTTTGTGACGAAAATGTGTGGGTTGACATAACATAACCGAGAAGGTCATCGAAATGAAAAGCAGTAGATTTCTTTTTACTACTGGATCTTGAGCTATTAAACAAGCACATTTTAAAACACAAATACGTCCTGCTTTCAGTTTGACACTGAGGAACTACTGGATAAAGTTTATTGCTTCTTTTTGCTTTAAAGTTTCAGATGAAAGTGTCAAGACCAGCGTGAAATGCATTTGAATTTTATATCGAAAACATAACTAATTAAATAAGAATAGAAAAGTTTTAATTCTTATTTCAAGGTTTGTTTAAAATTGCGGAGTTTCCCAAGAAGAATGTTTTGTTCCGTTATTACATATACTATATTTATTGAATGGATAGGCTTGTGTCACATTTAAAGAATTAAAAAAAAAATACATTTGAAACATTTGTAACATTGAAAAAAGAAACAACAGTTAATATTTATAAATGTGAATTATAATAAAATAATAAAAGAATAAGAGTCAAATAATTACATATATCGTTTCTAGAAGATTGACGTTAAAAATGTTTTAGTAATAGATATCCATTCGTGCTCATCGTATGATTTATCATACGAGAAAGATTTTTGGCTTTGCAGCCTTCTTTCTGCAACTACTCGTAGGTGATTTGAGCAATATTTTTAAGTGTCTAGTCAGGACAGGTCAGGTCAGGTCTTCTCTCTGCAACTACTCGTAGGTGATTTGAGCAAAATTTTAAGTGTCTAGTTAGTAAGACAAAAGTAAAATCTAACTAGTGACGTCAATAAAAAAGTAATTAAAAAAGTAGAAGAAAAATTGAAAAAACAAGATTGCGCTTCGCTTACCTTGGTCTGCGACGCTGTATTGGCCCTTCGGGCCATATTATATTGTGTGTCCCCGTTTTGTAATTATGGTTTGTTGCTTTTTAAATTGCTTAGCTCTTTACGGGAATTGATGTGAATCGATCGTTAATTTGCATTTATTCGATGAGAAAAGGCGAAAAGAAAATTTTTTTCTTTAATGGTCAATGTAATCTAATTTTTCAGTTGAGTGGGGCTCACGGGGGCTGCGTCTCCGATGGGGCTCACTAGGGTACCGCCTCCGATTAGGGTTTACGGTGGCTACGTCCCTGAGTGGGGCTTACGGGGGCTGCGCCCCCAAGTGGGGCTCACTCGATTCAAGATTAACGCGCCACGGCACCCACTCTAACTCTAACTGGTCTCCCATGCGATGCCGTGTTGGTTAGAGGTGTGTAATATGCGGTCATAACCTCACTTTTCCCGAATTTTAGTGATAACAGGCGTTTCCGTCAGCCGATCGGCTCCAAAATCAATAGGGTTCTTATGGAGGCCGAGGGGCACCTACTGGCCAAATTTCATAGAAAAAGAATGATTCTGTGAAGAGTTATCGCGATTCGCAGAAATACCGGACAGACAGACAAAAATTTCACATTTTTTTTTCGACGTAGAATCGATTGGTACAAGTTTCATTGCGATACGACTTCAAATGGCCGAGATATCGAGGATTTCTCGTTCGAAAAAGTAAAACCTATATAGAAAATTTTTTGAAGAAAAAAAATTTCTTAACAAGTCTGGGCATTAAAGGGTTAAACTAATGAATTAATATTACTTAAAATCTCAAAAAAAAACTTACTTTTGCGACTACATTAAACATAAATTAATCAGCGACAAAATCAATTTATTCCTTTTAATTTTCAAAAATCAAATCAATTGTTTTTAAAAAAATAAAATTAACAACTATAAACAACGGTAATAATTTCATCTTCAACACAAGAAGAACACTAATTGCACTAAGAAAAGCTAAAAATATTCAAATTTGTTTGTAGAAATTTGAATATGTGAGGATTGAAAAAAATTACTACAATTTTGCAAAAACACAAAATTTTTTTTTTGCTTGTAGGTACTTTTTACTTTATTTTTCACATCTGGTATCTCTTGAGTACAAAAGACTAAAAACAAAAGATTCAGATAAATATTGAACGAGTATGTTCAGGGCGAGTTATTAGTGCGGCGTCGGAAAATTGTGACTGTTATTGGAAATATTATAATAAATGAATAAATTTTTTGTTTTGTTAAAATTATTCACTTTTTTTTTAAACTAACTACAAATTTTTCATATTGTATAGGACCATTTTTTAATTTAGATTAGAGCATTAAATTACCAAGTTGCTGAAATTAGAAATTTAAATAAATATCCACTCAGTCTTCGAGCATCTTTATTATTAAAAATAGAAAATAAAAATTTTTCAATTAGTATCATCATTTGATACAATTTTGTTTGCGTTTGTTATACAGAGGGCGAGAAGTGATCAATTTGTCTTGTGGTATTTTACTATCTATTCTGTTTTTTTTAATATACAAATAAATTTAAAAGTTTTACTTTGATTAATTGCTTAGTTGTTCTATTTATTCAGGTCTTCTTTTTTTAATATCTACAATTAAATTGTCAAAATTATAAAATTGCCAAGAAGAGTGAATAACCGCGAAACAGTGCAATTTTAACTACTTAATTCTGATTCTCAAAGCTGGGGAAGAAGAATTTTACACTAAATTTTTACTATGCAAGAAAATAAACTAAATTTTTACTATGCAAGAAAATAAAACTATAATTTTGTTTGTTTATATTATAATAACAGAAATGATTTGTTTTTTCAAAGACAAAAAAAAAGACAATAACTTTAAACTTCAAGAAACATGTGGTTTAAAAAGCACATATACGAGTAGTTTTAAAGAACACGGTTTCCACGCTCTAGAACTATTCAGCATTCTGTTATTCTAAACGAGTTTGATGTTGTTCTAGTCAATTTTCTTTAATCAAAATTACTTTTTTCGGCGATAAAGTTTTTGAAACACTCGCTGTGAAAACTGGTATTCAAGTAATAAACTATAGGGCAAGATGTCAAAAAAGTAGGTTCACCGTTGACGTGTCTGACTCAAAAGTAAATTAATTTGAAAACTGAATAAACGCAAAAAATCAAGGAGAAAATATTTTCTTATTTTAATTTTTTACACAAAGGAGCCAAGAATCCTTGTACTCATGTGGGCGTTTGTTTGTTATAGGTTTGGTCTCAACTGGTGGAAACCGAATTCATCCCTCAAGTGTCAGCCACATGCAAAGCAGGTCACATGAACATCCGTGTGGCTTTTAACAACAGTTTTTCCGGTGCTGTCCACGCAAGGGATTACCGAACGCCAGCTTGCATGGTCCATGGAGACGGCGGTAAAGTTGTCACTCTGGACATCAATCTTATGGCTCAGCAAGGGGCCAGTGATTATTGTGGACTGCTCGTCAACAATGTAAGTTGCAACACTTGTGTGTACTTGGATAAAATGCGTCAAGGATGAGTCGCGTTCCACAATTGGACGGGCGAATCATCTTCTGTAATCATGGTTTGTGACACCGATAGGGAATTGTTTGGTTATGGGGAAGGGTGTTGTCAAGGCTGATGAATACGAGTGTGTTTGGAAACTTTGTAATGAGGATTAATTGAAGGTTTGGATCACCGGAGTCTTTTATAAGAAACCACTAAATTCTAAGTAACGCTATATCAAAGATCATACTAATAATAACATTACAAGTATAGCCATGGTCAAGTGAAAACTTTAAATAGTTAAGTAAGTTTATTAATAAACACAAATATGTAAACAAACATATAAAAATTGATAATATATTCAAAAGGTATAAATTTTGTTAAACTATTCTAAGCCAAAATATACGATTGTAATGAATATTTTAGTAATGAAGCAAACATAATTTTAGAATCATTACTGAATATTCTTAAAATGTTTTCAAAATAATAATACTGAAAAGTTAATGATTTATAAATGACTAATTTCTTTGATTGTAATGAAAAAGTATTGTAGAATCAGTAATTTTAGAGATAAATTGAGATAAATTAAGAAACAATTATTGACTTTCTTATAATAAAATACGCTTATTATTTATACAGAAAATTAGTAAAACAAATTAAGCAACTTATAAAAGTTAAATATGAAGATATTTGCAGCTTTAGATATGACTAAATGTGTAGGTATTTTACAGATAGTTACTCGTTTACAGAGCTCTTTTAAAAAAAAAGTGTTTTAGTAGTTTTATATCTATGTACTTCTAAATAATTCTCAATGCATACACAATAATTGCGAATTTCTTTAGAATTCAATATTTTTTCAGGAAAACCGTAAAGATTCGTACAAATAAGAATTTTGAAAGCAATGAAATTTATTAGTGACTCTTAAAAGCATCAGATTTAAATTGATTTTGTTATCTTTACTGAATCACCTTGTATATGGGAGTAATTTTAGAAAATTTATGTGGTTAATTGTCATCACTTCTTATTTGACAGTGTTTGTAAAATTCTAGTATATTGAAATAATTTAAATAGTGCACTCTGTTATAAAAATTGTTTAGTTTCAGGTGGGTTTATGAGTATATTAAAATATACTTTATGTTACGCTTCTTACGTGGACAAATTATTTTCAGTGTAAAACGCAAAAAAGTTATCTACTTGTTATTTCTAGTATAAATTATAGGTACTAGCGATAAACTTATTCTGCCTTTTTCCGTTCTTAATGTAATACGTAGTTTAATTATGTAGAAAAATAAGGACGTTGGAGTCGTAACGACATTATGGTTATCCCAAAAAAGTATGTTGTTAAGTTTTATTCAATTTTAAATGATGTAATTATAAAAAAGCACAGTTCTTTGTAAGTAAATTTAAATTTAATAATTTATTAATATCTAAAAGAAACCTACAATTCTTTTGACATATTCTTTAATTGATGTAGTAGAGCTAGTTGCTTGCTATTTTCATATTAAGAATTTTTTTTTAGAAACAAACAGCGTTATGGATACTTAAAAAAAAACTTATGTACAACATACGTAGATATAACTGTTCCATTTGACAATTTGTTGTATTTTTTAATTTTTTAAATTTTTGTTTTAAATTAAAAAAATTATGAAATGGTGATTGGGAAAGAGTAGTTTCCACGGTGTACATACATAGGTACGCGCCACTATTATAAATGAACGGGAAAAAATTTGAAAATACTGGAAAATAAAAGTAAAAACAAAACAAAACATTGTATTGCATTAAGTAAATAAATATTTTTATTCTTCGACACTGTCAAAATTTATGGTTTTTCTCCCGTGTAAGAAAGTTTTGACAACTGTTTGGCATTTCTCAATACGAAACGTCAAATTATTTTTAACACATTTAAAGCACGTTTAAGCCTTGTTGAGTCTAATTCGAATAATAAATTGTTGTATTCAACTCGTTTGAGTGTAAATCGGACGCTTTATTCCACCTCGTGGATGGTAAACCACTCGTTACACTCGTGGTTTAAAAATCCACTCGGTCAAATAAACCGTCCGATTTACACTCACACTCGTCGAATAAATAACTATTATTCTATTCTGTATTGCCCCAGTGTTTTTTTAAATTTTTTACTGCATTGAGCTGTAACAGATTGAACGAACAAGCTTGAAATTTAAATTTTACATTACTCTAGTAAATTGACATTACTGTATAACCCTTTTAAAGAAAATTTAAAAAAATTATAAGTACCGTTGAAGTTGTTGTATCGTAAAATTTTATAGATCCCGATTAACATCATCAGTCATTAAGTCCGCAGTGAAACGTAAAATTAAATATGTAGTTTGTCTATAGAGTAACGTAAAGTTTTTGACATAGTGTGAGATAATATCAGATTCATTCATCTTATTACAGTTAGATTACGTTGATTTAACATTGTGATAATCGATCAGTGATCAGCTATAGGTTCTTCAAATCATTAGCTACGAAGAAATGGATGCAGTGGATGAAACTTTTTTGTGCTCTACAGTAATGAAAAAATTGAGGCATTGTTTATACGGTGCTATGAATATTTTATACAACAATTTTTAAAATAAATGTAAATTATATACGTAAATTGATATTAAAACTAAAGTTTGCACAAACATTAGTTAACCCATTCACATTCCTTTGCAGCCCACGACTCTGCTTTAACACAATTACACATTCCATTAATACCACCGTTAGTTTTATACAGACGCAGTTTGTATTACATAAGTAAATGAGTGACAAAATAGAATAAGATCAGTCAAAAATAAGGGGTTTTCATTAAAAAAATGTCATGACGTCATCGCTCGAGTAAAATCGAAGTAAAAACTTAAATTTAATGCTGCAACGTGTTCTTTTAAAAAACAAAATTGACAGTTTAATAAAGATTTTTTCAAAAATGAGCAATTTTAATTTAAATAAAATTATCCACGAGTTTTGTTACACTCTATATAAAAACAAATAAAAATCAAACAAGTCCTCCTATTCTAAATCATAATAAATCATAACAAACATTAAAATTGTAGGAATATGGAAAAAAGTATATGGAATATACATAAACTTAATAAACTAAATAAACTCAAACTTAATAAGCATGCTGCATCTAACAACTATGAAAAGAGAGAAAAAGAAAAAATATAACATAAAATTTTACCTAGACATCAAAAAAATTAAATATATGATTTCTGATTAATTAAATGAAAGAAAATAAATATCACAATTACTGTTAATTTTATTGAAATTGCTACACATTACATACAAGGGCGATTTTGAAAGAACATTTGTATTACAATGGCCACAGTAAAAAGATATGGAATATCTTGAATTAAATATAGGAACCAGAAAAATGATTTTATTAATTATAGCTATAGAATCTGTCTTATGGTTGAATAATTTATGTAAAAATGTTTTATCAAAAAACAGTGCTACAAAATCCAACTTTGCCCTGTTTTCGGTTTTTGCGATCATCACTAACTGCATACTGTCGTTTTCAGGTGAGAAATTGTCGTGGATCAATGTATTTTACCGAAACTAATGAAGTTTGAGCTATTTTCAAGCGATTTGGGTACCGCATACGCTGTCATCAATTTTAACGGTCAAATTTTATAATAGATTTATTTAAAAAGCGCACAATAGAAAAAATTAGTATGAAAACTATTCGTATTCGTACATTGTAACACTTGCTACTGCGCTGCGTAGCTATAAATTACTCTTATCACAATGAGAGTGAAAAACACTTGTTTTTTAATACATCTTCGGTTAAGAATCTCTGGAGCCTGATGAGTTGTGGCCTTTTACTCTCACTTATTTCTGGTTTCTTACTTCTATCTCTATCTCTAAATTTGGTCTGAATAGTCTTAAAATTGATAATTCTCAAGCATGTTATGTCCAAATATGCAAACCGCGTAGGTTTTACCGTGTTCCACGATGACGTGGACGCATAACTTCGGCTTTGGGTGTTTACGTCCACGCCCTGGAATGAAATGGCTTAATAATGTTTTTCCTGCCGCTATAAATAACCAAACGGAATGCAAAAACTGCTCAAATTTATTATAATTATAACACAATTATCGGGAGCACGCAAAAAACATAATGCAATGTCACTCGAAGACCTCGAAGATCTCATACATGGCCTAGCCCACAGATCTCAGCTCAGGGTTGTTGTCGACAAACAACACAAATCTTGGACTGAATTTGTTGGCATAAATGGTGTAGAAAGGTGAAGGAGAGAGGTATCGATTGCTTAGATATACTACTTGATTGATAACACGTAAGGCTTATTGTTGCAAAATAAGGGAGTGATTGACGAGGAAGGTGGAAATAATTGTTTCGTTTTTTTTAGAAGTTTGTGAAACGGAAAAAAGCATTTTCATTCAGATACGATCGGAAATTTTAATTGCATGCCAACGATTAAATCGCCATTTAATAATACTGCAGTCTTGCTGGATGCCGATCGCAAAATCCTGTAATTTAATTGCCGTATTAATTTTGTATTCTCACAAGTAAGTAGAATAGTATGATTTTTTGCGCTGAAATCGAGTAATTAATGAAGCGAATTCTCTAACGTCGCAACTTGACGTGATCATGTGTTCAAATCACGAAATATCTCAGAAAAGATCATTAATTTCGATCAAAATATTACACAATGAAGCATCCAAAAAAATTATTTAGGTCGAAAAATCAATCTTGTAATTTAAAAGGAAATTGTAAAAAACTCCAACCTTGGAGTTGGAATTGTGAGTTTTTCGAAGAATATGTGTTGAATTAGTTTCTCCTCTATTTCCACGGTAATGACTTAAAAGTGTTTCCTGGTAAACATACCGAAAGAGGTGTTAATTGAATTACTCACCGATGGACACATAATAGAAGAAAACAAGAGTGTTTCTACCCATGTTTGGTTAAGAACAGGTGTAAAGACATATTTTACACCTACCTACCTAAATTTGAAGATTAGATTATCATTATTACTTTACCTCATTCTTAAATAAAATGTGAATTTATGGCTTAGTTAATACATAGTTAAAAAATTTTATAAAAAATTTATATTATTTTTTTGATATGTCAAGGAAATCAAGTTATAACATAACTAGGACAAAATCGGGAGCAAAAAATTGTTAACAGGTCGTCATATCGTCATCTGAGTTCTCGATACGTATTTGCGACAAAAAATATGTAGGTAATTTACATTTCATTACATTTCACAGTCAACCAATTACATAATCAAAAAATATTGAATATCATGCTTTAAATTTTTTTGAAATCATAAACTTATTTTTTGAGGAAAAAAATTTATTCTTGGAGAATACAGTATGTATGTACTTCTAGCCTATAATTTAAGGGAGCGAAAGTAACTCTCTGTATTGGTGTTAAAAATTTATTTTTATGACAAAAATCCTTTACGTTAGTTTTAGTTAATTAAACAAGTAAACATTTTAAAAACTAGGAATTGCAAAAATGTTCTTTTAAATTACGTACGATTTTTTTCACTTTAAGTTTAATTATAGAGAGGCTTTTATTAGTGTGTTTATAAAACTTGGCTCTCCCTGTATACATACCTACATCCTACATGAGGATGTGACTCTTTCGGTCGATTTACAGAAGCTTCATTAAATTAATTACAATCAAACATCAGATTAACTGATAACATGACCAAATTGAACCAACCAGATGCTCAGATTCATGGAGTAATCGCACATGAACTTTTAACAACGGATTAATTTTTAATTCGCCTTCCATAAACCGACCCTATATCTCGTACCAATATAATTGTCGATTCATGTAGAGCACTTGCTCCTGATTTTATTAATATTTATAAAACGTGCTTTAGAAATGTATCCGTCTAAATATGTAATTCCACATCTATTATTGATTCTATCTACAATACAAAATAAATACTCCCACTTCCAGTATCTGTTATTTGTTCAAAGGAAAGGGAAATGGTATTGGAGAGTATAACCGATTAAATTATTATCAGTGATCCGGGACAATAATTTAAATTCTGAATGTTCGTGCTAACTGGCGCCGGCGTTACAATATCAAAAAAATGTAATATTTTCCTAAAAATCTCTAAATTTTTTCTCCGGTAATTTTATTTTAATAACTCGCAATGAAATGTCCGGATCTTGAAACATTAAACTTAAAGTCAAAAGATTAATGTCTGTTCAAAATTCCAACCCTGGTAACAGTTGTTGAGCAGAAAGATTAAGAGGGAGATATTTCTTTTATTCTCTGGAAGAAATAATTGCAGTGATCATACTGCACTTGCTATTATATTGTGAACCGATGCTAATATCTAAGCAATTGTAAACCGGCCTGTAATAACAAACCGTTAAATATTAAAGTAAAACTGATCTGTAGCCACTTCCACTTTTTTTGTATTTAGCTGAGAATATGAAGAAGCAATTAATTGTATCGAGATGGTTGCCTAGATGTGACCCCTATCAATAAAGCCCGTTGCTGCATCAACACCTGTGCCCCTCCGGCTTATTTACGCACTAGAAAAAATTCATTCGACTACAACAATATTTTTTCAATAAAAGATTTGCGAAGGATTCCAACCGGAAAATTTTACCACAAATCTTCTCTCTGTTGTATAATAATAGCATTGTCCATGCCTGGAACTATGACATTATTCATGGGCTAATAGTTCGTCTAATGGCCTTTGTCTTAAGAACTCAAACTTGCAGAAAAATTAATCAACTTGTGATAGTTTTATTTTGCAATCTTCCCGCGCAGATTACGTAAATTGGTGATAATTTTTGATGACCTCAAAAAGAAATAGCGTAGGCTTGTTGGCTAATCCAGGGGGCGGTAACTTTTTTTTTCCTTTTAAAAGTGCGAAGGAGGCACAGTTATGAATTAGTTAAAATGCATCGTGACGTTACTGTTGATGTCACTAACTGTTTTTGTAATTCCGGTGTCATACTTCTGCAACAAACATTCTTACAGTAATAATTACTATAGGATTTATATTAAATTTATAAAGGGTTATTGCTGTTTACTCAAAAAAAAATTCTCAATGCATCTAAGAGGCAGGAAACCAGTCATACAACATATAGGGTTTTTGATTATACAGGTAGTCCCAAAAAAAAATTGACGTGATAATGATACTTATATTTTTTTAAATTGCATAGTAGGTATTATTTTTTGCGCTCATTAGAACGCCTTTTTAGTTATTTACATATTCCCAAATTGTTTTTCAAATCGGTTCAGGAATTTCTGTGAAAAAAATAAAAATCAAAAAATATCCATTTTGCAACTTTACCTACTTTTAAAAATTAATAAAAAATGCATTTAGTGCCCTCTTGATAAAATTAATACTAGGCACTGATTAAATAAATTAGAATTTAAAAATTTGTAACGTATGGTCTTAAAATTTTGGGAATTTTTTAGATGGTTTTTATTTATATCAATTAATATTTAAACAGGTTGTTGCTGGAAGTAAAATATGACAATTAGCTTGTTTACGTTATGGCAGTTTAGTTGTTTCTATTGAGTTTTCGAAAATGTCTTGTAAGCTATCGAAAGCTGAAAAGATATTTGGAATAAACCCCGTTTTTCCATATTTGTTTTTAAAATTTTCGACATTTTTGTGTATCTACATAATTTATTAAAATTATGACATTAAAATTGACGACAAAACATAATAAATTAAATACTAGAGGAACTGTCTTAAAATATAATTTTTTTATTCTTCGACACTGTCAAAATTTACGGTTTTTCTAGCGTGTAAGGAAGTTTTGACAACTGTTTGGCATTTCTCAATACAAAACGTCAAATTATTTTTAACAGATTTAAAGCAAGTTTAAGCCTTGTTGACTCTAATTCGAAGAATAAAATGTTGTATTCCACTCGTTTGAGTGTAAATCGGACGCTTTATTCCACCTCGTGGATGGTAAACCACTCGTTACACTCGTGGTTTAAAAATCCACTCGGTCAAATAAAGAGTTCGATTTACACTCAAACTCGTCGAATAAATAACTATTATGTACAGACCATCGTTAATAAGTAATTCTGTATTTCAATCAAATTACATATTTACATTAATTTATAGCGATGCGCATTTGAGCAATATTAAAAAACAACAGCAGATTTAAATTGGTTTCGTCCTCTGTATTAAATCACCTTGCATTAGAAATTTTAGTAAACAGTTTCCTCAATAGTGACGAAAGAAAATTTATAACAATAATTTCAGAATCTTACTACTATTTTTTTTAAAAAAAGGAATGCATAAATCATAGTGATTTCATATTTAAATTTAATAATTTAAGAAATTTTACAAATTACGTATTTGACGTTTTTCGACATTTTTTGAATTTCATTTGCATACATTGAGAAACTTTTTTGAGGAGTATTAACAGTGCTATTATTTTTTCTTTGTGATTATTTCTGATGTCTTTAGATATTTTCTATGTTTTAAAATTAGTAAGTAATATGATGACTTTACTGTAAAATTTAATTACATTTAATTTTTAATTAATTATTAAAAAAAATAATTTCAATTTTTATTTCTTTTTAATTTTATAAAATTTCAAAGATTTACCTTTTTAGAAAAAAAAATGTAAAAACGCTACAATTTTTACAACAAATGTTTGTCTAATTAGAGACATGTAAACATAACATAGTGTTACAAAAGTGAACAAAACAACTAAATTGCAGCCTCTTATCGTAATTGAAATGAAATTAATAATTGAGTGTTTTGTTTCAGAAAACCGAGGAGCGTTCCGTTCCGATCGCGGTCCGAATTCACCGAACTCTCGAACTCGCCGACGACAAATTCTACGTGATCACCTGCGGCAAAGCCGGCTTTCGAAATGCCCGAAACGAAACCTCCCTTGTCTCTTTACGCCTCCTCGACGGCTCTCGCAAAGTCACTCAAGCCGTCTACAGCAAACCCTATACTCTTCGCGCTGAAATTTCCCGTCCCGATGGCACTTACGGCTTCCGAGTCAAATCCTGCTTTGCTTTCAACAAGTTGAACAGCAGCGTCCCCCTCATCGACGACAAGGGCTGTCCTACCAACGGTGACGTGATCGGCCCTTTCGTCTACGACGAGAAGAAAGGCACTGCGGATGCCCAACTTAGATCAATGTTCCGGTTTCCGGAAAGCTCCGAGGTGCATTTTCAGTGCGACATCGGATTGTGTCGGGGTTCCTGTCCGGAGCCGGTATGCAACGATGGAGCACAGTCGAGGGCTTTAACCACCGAAGAGGGGATTCTTATGGCTGCCACCAGTGTTTTCGTACTGGATCCAGGAGATCCTCCACTGGTCCAGGAATTGTGCGATGAAGGGGGTGTCCATCCAACGTGGTTGTTGTGGCTTTGTATAGCGTTAGGGGTGCTGTTTCTTATTATGTTGATCATCAATATCTTCTTGTGCTCAGCGATGACGTGCGCTTGTGCCAGGACGGAAATCATTGAGAAGGAGCCAAGCATTATTGAGGACTATGATCCTTATAGATCCTGGCATGGCAGCCAGTACGGATCGAGGTAAATATCCGCGAGAGGGGTTTTGTATAAATTAAATAAATAAACTGAATAAATTATTCACGACAGAAAAATTCCAGAATTGTTAAATATAAGAAAATAAATTTTTATGTAAACTTTTGTTTCATCGTTAGATATTTATTAAAGGTCAATATACAGTGAGCGACAAAATTGTGAAATAATCTTATTAAAACTGTATTTTTTTGGCAAAAATGCTCGAACAGGTCAATTTTCTTTTTAAAAAATACACAATTTCCAAATTGATGTAAAATTTTACACTTTTTGGTTTATGAGTCATGACATCTTCGACATATTTTTTAAATGGAAACCCCTAATTTTTTTAGCCATTTCGATAGATCTTTTAATTGTCGAAATGACAACACCAAAATATTAAATATTACATAGTGTTGGGAAAAAAATAATTCAAAAAGTGAAACAATATCAATAAAAAAATTGAGAATTTTGTATATTTAAAAAAAAAAAATTGACCGTTCGAGAGTTTTTCTCAAAACAATTTTTTTTCAGTTTTAAGTAAGGCTTACCTGCTCTTATGTTGCCGTTAATATACGCTCTTCGATAAAATACGTCATCAATCACAACAAAGTATTTTATTAGCACATGAAATACTCTAAACTTGTATTGGCACTATGTGAATTTTGACATTATTTTGACATAAAATATGTACTTTTTACAATAATTTCTGAAATTAGTAAAAATTTTGATTTAATGTTAGTGTTGGAATTTTTTTTTAAGACATTATAGTTTAAAATTCTTGCTTTTTGAAAGTAGGTTTTAATGTTGATGTTCTTATTGTTCGATTTTGCTTAGCTTTTGAAACAAGTTGATTTTTTGAAAAACACATTAAAAAAATAAAGAAGTATGATAAAAGTTGAAAACTTAAAAAAAAAAGATGATGTTTTGTTTTTATCTCTAAAAGATGCTATTAAATAGTCTTTCTAAAAAGAGAAACTTCTAAATGACTACAGTTGATAAAGAACAAGATATTTAATTTTAAATAAGACTGGACAGTTACTTGCAAAGTTTTGTTCTTTACGTTTACGCATAAAGAATACGTAAACAATGTAAGAAACTATTGTTTTGAGGTTAAGTAAAATGTTTACCAAATGATTTGACAGTTTTTACTTACTTCTTGTTGGATCTTCTTGGTATGGTAGTGATGAACATAAACACTATTTAAACCCAACATACCAAACCTTTATTTTAACACAACGCGTTTCAACCACAAAGTAGTCATCCTTAGGTGAGAATAGAGAATAGAGAGAGTTTTATTCTCACTTGAGGATGACCACTTTGTGGTTGAAACGCGTTGTGTTAAAATAAAAGTTTAGTGTGTCGACTTTAAATTGTGTTTGTGTTCATTAGTTTTTACTTAAGTATTCTAGTCACAGATTCTAGTACAGATGAAGAATAAGAATGTAGAACAGTACCTAAGACATATGCTTATAAAAAAGTTTTGAAAGGAGTAAAGTTGAAAATGCTTCGTCAAATCGGAGGGTGGTTTACTGACAAAAAATTCAAAGTAAAAACTAAAAAGTCCAAAATACGTATCAAACAAATTATTCATACAGTAAATATAAAAATACAAAATCGGAAATAACCAAAGACACTTTTGTGTAAAAAGTTTGTTACTAAAACATGTTTAAACAAAATAAAATAGAAACAAAATAATTTCATCATAAAAATTTCAATGCTAAAATGTTCAAAAACAAAAAGTGAGTAACAGGTTCCCAGAAATGAAAGGAGGTATTTAACACACCGCACCTTAAACATCACATTTCCAGATTCAGTTTTTAAGATATTAGCAAAGGCAACTGCGCAAGAATAATTAGCAAGGGCTGGAAGCAGTGCGCACATGGTGATCAGTTAGTTTGATGCATAAACGTTTACGCCTTCGCCACTTCTTGCACTGCTGTACTCCTTATAACACGATTTTGTTTTTGAAGGCTTTGCGATATTCTCGTTTTACTTGGACACATTTTCTTGAAAATGTTTTGTCTAATTTTAGTTTTGCGTGCGTACAATTAGGCTTTAATAAATAAATTTTGTAAAAAATGAGATTATTCATTTTCTATTGTTTACCTTTTCTTACAGGTACTATTTATAAGTAAACAATGATATTCTTTACATGTAAACAACAATGTATTTTTCACGGCGAAGTTTACTGTGATTTTTTTAAATACATATTGAAATGCAAATTCGTATTTAAAAATTAAAAGTATTACACATTTTGACTAGTGAAATAATAGCTATTTTTTCTGTTTATTAAAGTTAAATATGTTTTTAGTAATCAACATTCCAAACTCTTAAGAGTTTTTTTAAGAAAGACTAAAAATATCTTAAATGCAAATAAAAAAATAGACATTTACTTCTAGTCACTTGCTTAACAAACTTAATTTTTTAGTTTTATTGCAGTGCGGCGTTAAAAAGATAAATAGCTAGCAAAGACTTCATTTTTGTAGTTTTTTAGATTTTGTGCAATGTTTTCCTTAAAAGAAATATGTATTTAAAAAAAAAACCGAGCGTAGTCGACTAACAAAAGTTTAAAAACATCAAAATCGAAACTTAAAACTAAGCAAAACCTAAGAAGTTTCATTAAAAAACATTAATATGTATTGTAACTTATCATTTCTGGCACACTCTGTATATAGACAAAAATAATCTACGGTGATGCAAATGCAGTGTATGACTGTGACTTTTTGTAATTCCAATAACAATTTTTTCCAATAACTATTTTTTTACAACCACTCATAGATTTCTTAAGAAGTCTTTGATTTACTGAAATATTCCGCCTGCGAAATATTCCAAAAAAAAATTTTCACACATTTTTTATTTTTTGATTAACATGAATTTATTTTCTTATATGTGAACACATTTATTATTTTTGTTAAAATTTATTCATTTTGCTTTCTGTCATAATATCCTTAAACTAAATTTAAACATTTTCATTATCATAAAGAAACTCAATTTTACGGTAACAACAATACACCCCTTTCACGAGTCTCCACTAAACCACTAACCCTTTCGAGTTTCAAGGGTTGACGATGAATTTTTAAACTTTCCTTTTACACAGCAGTGTTTCAGGTACTCATTAAACGGGGCTCCTCAGAATCCTAAAGGCTACACTTCTGGTGGTTCGACGATGAATTCGACCAGATCAGTGTCGTCTCACAGCGATCACTACGCTATAGTTCATTCACGGCCTGGTAGTCGCTACAAGCACAGGGGGCCGCCCTCGCACGTTGGCAGCCACTACAGTGGGAAATAATTGTGTTCACCTACAAACTTTTGAAGTGTAGCATAAGGTTCAATAATAAGTGCAATTACCATATTACGATAAACGATATTTATACGACTTACATAGTCTACAAGATAATTGATTTGTTTACTGATAAAGTAATGAGACGTCCATAAAATTTTATCCAGTTTAACAATAGACTTAAGCTTACGATTTAACTGTAGCTTTAATTTTGTAAATTCTAAAAGTGGAAATTGTAAAGAGAACTGATTAAAACTTATTGTAAATATAAAAATTATTTTGAAATAAATCTTTCTTGTTATTTTACAACGGAAGAACTGATATTTCTAGTGATTGTCAAGCTATTTATTTCATCAAGCATTGGCTCAGGTTTTTAAAATCTCTTATTGTTAGAGACAGCAACGAAGCGAAAATGTATTTTGACGGCACAAACAAGATTTCACCTCACGTTTGTTTGTTGACACTGTATTCTTTATTTTAGATAACAATAGATTGAGGCATAAGATAAAAACAACAAAAGAAAGTTACTGGGTGTAACTGAAGCATGTTGAACATTAATATGCTATTGAAGATTTTACTAAATATGTTAAAAAGATGTTGTGTATATTTGTTTTGTAATTTTGGTAATTAATTCTGACATACGTAATACCATTTACTTCAAATTAGTGATTAACTGATCATGAATATTGGAAATATGTTCAATTGCGTTATATTTCTGTGCCCACATATTTTAATTACCTATGTGTTCTCATTATCGTAAGCTCTAATTGTTACCGACCGAATGTAGCAATAAACTTTGTTACCATTATTGACAAACTGTAATTTTTAATTAACACATTTATTTAATGGATGGGTAAAAATAGTTGTGCAATTTGTTCACTAATGTAATATTCAATTAAAATTTCTTAATTAAGTGGTTTAACCGGCAATTTGCAAGGTATCTTGATTACTTGTCAATTTTTGTTTTTTTTTTTTTCAACTTGGACAACTTGGAGGAAGATTGTTCAATTAATAAAAAATCTTACAGGCATTTAACAACTTTATAAATTTTACTAATAAAAATTTGCTTACAAGGAAAGATTAGATTAGATAATTGTAATAGATACTTAACCAAAATATGATGAACAAATAATATACGATTGTAACACATGCTGTAATTAGTGCCTCATACATCCTGAAATTAAGTATTAATTGACCATGTAGATGAAACATTTTCCAAATTTTATTGCTATAAAAAAAATAAATGTTTAATGTCTCCGTTGGTGTTTTGGAAGTATATTTATATTTCATACTGATAAATTTTGTGATTGAAAGCTATTTATATAACTTAATCTTAATCATAGCAGTTAGCAAGTTTACTTTTGGAATATGAAATTTGTAGTTGAACAGTTATCAGTGACTTAATTTGCATTATTTTGCAACTTGCCTTATAAAAATGAATTTAAATTTGAATAAGATTTTGTGATTTATTTGGTTTTGAAATAATTATTATAATATTATATTATAATATAATAATTTATCTAAGCCGAGTTACGAATATTATTATATGTTTTAAAAGTAATTTCTCAAAAGTACCTATAGAGGTGCATAGTTACTTTGCATTCATACTTACATTAACACAGAATCTGAATGAGGCACGGAATTTAGCTTTAAACTTTTATTTTAACAAGACTTACAAATTTGACAATGTTTCTTTTTATTAAAATTTTATTATTGAACTTCAGTTAGAATTGTTTTTTCATTGGAAGACATCATTATATTATCGTGTTTGATGCTTGAGAAATTGTTTTTCTCCACTTTCGTTATTTCTATTTGTTTCGACTATATATATACTGGTCGTGAAAAAAATAATACATTAACTACGGGAGCGAACAATTTTATACCCTCGCTTTCATTATTACTCTTAAATAACTTAACTATCGAAATTGTCTTCTTTCTCTTGGTATATAAATATTATTCTTGTACAAATAGATATAACTATATAGCGTTTTGCAAGTCTTCTTGCAAAGTAATAAGTAGTGAACTCTCACACATAAGTACTGTAATATTACTTGAAAAGGGGGCCTGGTGTGAATTTCCCAAAGAGTTGTCCCTCCGAATGKTGGACGCCAAAATTTCCCCTTTTGCCCTACGTTGTGTTTGTTGTGTCTCGAAAATAACAAAAGRAAAATAATTAGAAAAGAAAATTCTAATTGACCCGAGGTATAACGAGGCCGCGTTGTAAGAAAGAAAACACAAGTTTCAAACCACACTTAAATTTATTGAACATAAATTATGAAATAATTAGAACTTGGTTCTGATTGTTTGTCTGTTTACTTCATCAAATAAAATAAATACAAAAGAAAAATGAATAAATAAATTATCCCAAAATTTCCTAAGTTCTGGTTTTTCGGTGCTTTGAAATAAATCAAGAGAAATTAAATGATAGCTTGGTTTGATGTGAAAATTGCAAATAGGTTTCGATTGGATTGACGGAAATTGGTAGTTGTACTTCTCTCACTAGTACAGGTGGGTAAATTAAAAATGTTATAGTTGTTTAAGTCAATAAGACAGGAATTCGGACTGAACTTAACGGCCTAATATTTATAAATAAGTGGCAGGGATACAACGTCCTAAACTGCCGGCCTGCAGTCGAATTAATGGGTTAAAAGGTTTCCACAACCAAAGTTCCCCAAAACCTTTTAACCCATTAATTCGACTGCAGGCCGGCAGTTTAGGACGTTGTATCCCTGCCACTTATTTATAAATATTAGGCCGTTAAGTTCAGTCCGAATTCCTGTCTTATTGACTTAAACAACTATAACATTTTTAATTTACCCACCTGTACTAGTGAAAGAAGTACAACTACCAATTTCCATCAAACCAATCGAAACCTATTTGCAATTTTCACATCAAATCAAGCTAACATTTAATCTCTCTTGAGTTATTTCAAAGCACCGAAAAAGCAGAACTTTTGGATAATTTATTTATTCATTTTTCTGTTGATTTTATTTGATGAAATAAACAATCAGAACCAAGTTCTATTTATTTCATAATTTATATTCAATAAATTTAAGTGTGGTTTGAAACTTGTGTTTTCTTTCTTACAACGCGGCCTCGTTATACCTCGGGTCAATTAGAATTTTCTTTTCTAATTATTTTCCTTTTCTTATTTTCGAGACACAACAAACACAACGTAGGGCAAAAGGGAAAATTTTGGCGTCCACCATTCGGAGGGACAACTTTTTGGAAAATTCACACCAGGCCTCCTTTTCAAGTAATATTACAGTACTAATAATACTCTAATTTCTAGTAAATTCCTTCTACGAGTATTTAAATCTCCATCATAGAGTAACACAATTTTCATCAAAATGGTCCATTTTGGAAGAATAATGAGAAGTGTCATTTAATAATTTTTTATTTGCTTAGGGAACAAATTTTAAGGAGTAGCAAATTAGAAATTGACAAAAAATTGTAGACAAAGGGACGTCCAAAAAACCTAACTTCAAAAAATGTAATAAATTATTTACATTTACATTTTTTTAGTAATTAAATATGATCAAAGAAAACAATAATGTTTTACTTATTAGCCCATGTTTTTCAAACTAAAGATGCTAATTAGTATGTAGTAAATCCATCTGATATACAAGCGCCAAATTTAGCTTTGAAATCTATGAAAACAAGCGAGGTTTTTACTAAAAAATGAGCTAATTTGGACAAAACGAGCGAAAAAGCAGATGCATTCCTTGCATTAATTAACTGAAAATAGAACTAGGAGTTTCTTTGCTAAATAAAATGTCATTTTAGAAGCAGACAAGCAGATACAACACGTTTATAAAGGGTGAACCATCTCTTGATGATTTCTTTTTGAAATTGCTTTTAAAACCAAATATTTGAATATTTATTTTTAGGTAATTGTTTGCTACTTTATTTAATTTTTTGACAAACAAACATAACATTTTGAAAAGTAAAATTTACTGTAATTTCTTTTGTTTTTAAGTAAGCTTCTTGTAGATAGGTAGTTATCACAAGTAGGTACAATTTGTCATTTCTTTAACTTTGTACAACTTTGCGAAGCCATTGAGCTCGTTTCAAAAATTCACAATATAAATAATATAATTTTTTAATTAAAATTATTTTCTTATAATGTTGCATTTAGGTATGTAAACTGTTTTAGATTGCAAAAATACATTTTACTGAATTTATTTTCCAAATCATACATTCACAGGTTCTATTTCAAGCTTGATGAAATTATTTGTTTGAATTTAATTTAGTAAACAAATAACAAGAGTAAAAAATAATTGTTTATTTCAATTTGGACAAATCAATAACATTTTATCAACAAACATTATAAGATCACACTTGAATTGTTAATATCTCATCATTGTTTGATAGCTTGACTATACACAATAGAAAACCTAATAGGTATATTAATTACATCCACAGGAAGGCGGTGTTTTTTAATACTAATAATAATTATCTAATTCGTTGAAAACTCTTCGTAACAGAAACATCTATGAATTGGACACTTTGACGGATAAACGAGGCATTCGTCCATACACTGAATATCGGCACCTGGATTACCTTCGTATTCTCCAATGGCCTCACAAGTAGTCCTAAAATAACCAGTAATCGATCGAGTACAAACTATTATAAAACCAACTTACGGGCATTGACAGATTTTGGCTGGACAGTTTGGTGGATACCTCAAGCAGTTGCTTTGACACCATTCATTCACTCCCGGAATACTTTTGTACAGAGAATTGGGTACACAAACTTGTTCACGTACCACAAGTGGATACACATTATAAGGAGCAGGTTTGGAAAAGTCTTTATAATACAACAAATACGGATTATTAACTCCAACAAATAAGGGTGGAACAGCAGATCCAGCGCTCGTATGTATAGCAACATCGGCACAATTTCTGAAAGTTTCTGATTTTCCGCATCCTTGAGCCTCGGTTCCGTTGGGACAAGAACCCCATTGGTTTCCTGTGTAGTAACTCCACTGCAAAACGCACTGAGTGCACGTGATATAAGGTGGTAGTTGCACTTTATATCTGAAGATAGCTTTCTTTTTTCCGTCTTCGGGAATGTTGTACACGAAGCTTTTAGTATCACTGAGGTAAAGAGGATATCTGTCAAAACAGTCTTGCGTTGCTTCTTGATTCGGGTTGTTGTTAGGACACAGGAATATTTCAAATCTACCATAATGATTAGCTGTTAATTCTACTTCGATGTCGATTTCTTGTCCTACGCTGTAGTGGCGTGATATTATTCCTTTAGCATACAAACCGCCGGCTTCATGAGGACGTGGTTCTTTCACATGGTGCGGGTCTCCACAAAGGCCACATTTCCCATTATTTTGTTCCCACTGCACTACAAAACAAATGTTATGTTATTATTTCTTGTCTTCACAATTTATTTGATATAAAACCATCAAATTCTTTAATTATTCGAAAAGAAACAAAAAGAGGTACTTTAGTAGTTGATCATTGAACTCCCAAATTCGACAGTGTTTGTGTACAGGTTGCTTGTAGGATAAGGACCAGTTTCATAATCAAATTAAAAGAACTTAATGTTGCTTTAGAATGTAAATTTTTTATAAACATGTCCGTTGTATCAGCACATTGTAAACAACATTTGATTTAATTTATTTTATTTTTTTTTTTACTTATTATTGATCATAACCTTTCATTTTCTAAGTTTATGGTATAAGTTAAGACTCACCCTGAGTATTGTTTACATAGACTGGTATAATAGAAAGGTTCACACCGACAAAGAGAATCGGCACGGGCCTCTGCTAATCGGTAATTATCAATTATCATACAGGATGAATATAAAGTATGGAATCAACCGTTTTCTTTAATTATTTGCATCCTGAAAATAATAATCAGTATAAATCAAAGTAATATAAAAATGTGATCGTATTTTGAAAACGAAATTTTGTTCTGTTTTTGAGTTATGCGATTTTTTTAGTCAAAATTGCAACTTATGTAAAGATTTGTTTTTGAAAAAAATAAATATAAAGTAGATAGTTGTAATCTACTAATAAAAACGGTTTTATAGTGAGTTGCTATTTAAAAAAATAAAATTTTTAGTAGAACTCAAAAACAAGAAAATTTCGAAAAAAAATATTCTCGATAAAACATCACATTTTTATGGTACTTTATCATTCTTCAATTAGCTTTTCCAAAAATAAATAGTTTAAGCATAAAACGTTTGGTTCCATACTTTTTATTCAGCTGGTATATTTCCAACAACGCTGGTTTATGGTTTACCGGCAATCGGCAACTATTTCAGAAACAAACTATACTAGTTCGTTTACAAAAAAGACAACAAAAAGTACAACAACTCATTGTTGAGAAGCATAATGTATTAAAAAATAAAAAAATTCCTGATGTCATATTTATTTAAATATAATTTTTTTAACAAAACACTAACCTACAAAACAAACTTGTTTTGTTAAGTTTTTCAGTTCTATTTTTTTTGTTCATGTTTCTATTATATCACTTAAAGTAATCATCTCATATATCGAGGGTTACATTACCTCGTAAGTGAAAAATAACGGTTTGGTAAAAACGATATTAGCTATTGTTTTTTTACAGCAATATTATCTAATTAATTATCTAATACTTATCTTTTAAATATTTAGTTATTACTACTCAAATTACGTTTACTAATAAAAATTAATAAAATTACTTTCTTAAAGTAATAAAAAGAGAAATACGAAAAGGGGAGTTACGAGGTATTGTACATTGCCTTCGATATCTATCGATAACGAATAATGAATAATTTTTGTATCTGCTATCAGTCTCTAGCAGTATTTGAATTTAGATGTGATTTGATTATTTGAAAGAAAATAATGTAGGTAAAAAAACAACAAAAAGTTTAAAACGTAATATAGAAATATTTTTGGAAACAAAATTTTACTATAGTACATATAAATTAATAGTACCTTAATGCACAGGTTTTTATTGATTGCCAACACGTTTTGTTATCCAAGTTGGCATCATCAATCTCATTAGTATTTGTTTTGTTTCGTTTTCACAAAAATGTAGGTTTCATTATTTATTTAGTGTGTAGATTACATACCGAGGTGGGAGGTGCTTCATAAGCCAAGGTGCAATGAAGCAACCACCACCAAGGTTTGTATACTTTTTTATTCATAATCATCCTCTTTAAAAAACTGAAAGCCAATAAAGAACTTATCAAATTTTGAAGTTGCATTTTAGGTTTTTATTCAGAAGACAATAAACAAAATATTCTTTTCTGAAAGGACATATGTCGTTTGTGTTTGTTTGTTGGCTATATCTATAGGAAAATGTTTTATACTAATAGTCATAGAGAAATAAAATGTACTGTTCCTGAACTCAGGGAAGTTGCTGAACAAGTAACTGAAAATTGAAAAACATAGATTGGGAAATGGCTACTTCCCAACCCTAAAACTGACTAATTCCCAACCTAAACTGTCATATTTTATATCAATTGTTCCAACCTTTCACATAAGGTAATTTGATTATTACTTTATAATTGTGAATTAAATTTTTTTCGTAATTTACAACCCTTAGCAAAAACAAATATTTTTACTGTTTTTTTAGCATGGTAATTATGTTTTTTTATTTTTAGAAATGCAAGTTAATATTGGCAAATTGTTAAATAATTAAACTGGAAAAATGTAAATGCTTCAAATTTTTTAAAAAGTAATTAAAATAGCAAAAGTTAATTTGGTTCTGCAAGAATTTAACGATTAATTTAAATTCAATTTTGAGCATCCTATGCAATATATTACTCCTATCACTTTTGTGTCGCATAACCGTAACAATTTTCAAATTGTTTCTTAATTACCACACGTGTATAGTAGTGTTTTATTCTACCGTTTGTCTGCGTGCTAACAAGAGTAATATATTTTAACACTCCTCCGGGTCCTCCCACGATACTAAAACATTTCCATTTAGCATTTAATCGTCAAAGAACCTGATGAGTGCTGATAAATCACGTGATTTTTCCAGTCACTCTGGTACTAATTTGTTTCAGACTGCATTCTTAGCAATTTACGAAAGCCACCCGAAAATAACAACTTTTGTTCTTTGACAGACGAATAAAATACTCACCAGTGTATCCACCGCAGAAGAGTTCATTGTCGTTATAATTAACAGGATTAGGAAAACCGAATCTCCACATAGAATTTCGGGCCGGCGGATCCATGAGCCTCCCATGTCCTTTGACTAAATTATACAAATGCAGGAGTATGAAGAATCTTGATAATGGCACTAGCATCTCGAGGAACTTTCTGCAAAAGAGAGTCAATAAACTGACGATGAAAATAAACACCGGTGATTCGACGTTATGAATTTCAATTGAGGAACTTCACCCTTTACTACAGCTACCTATTGGGTAATATTGCTTGGTCCTAACTTTGTCAAATGTTGATGGAAATGTCAAGGACTTGGGTTGGGAAACTTCGATTAGATATTAATTATTGTTCCGGGTATACTTTCAACAATTCATCAATAAACAACAAAGTCAAAAAACTTAACGATCGACCACCAAAAAAATTAAGAACAATAAAATAATACGTACAAGACAAATGCAATTGTTTATTTTACTTAAAATTACGATACATTTAACTGCAATAAAAATCATATTAAAACATTTGTAATTCATAATGTAAATTGCCGGTCTTGAATTTATTGTTATGATATTTAGCTATGCATATTTGTTTTTTGTGTGGTTTCTTAAACGTGTTCCTCAGAACTCGATTACTATCAATCAAAGATTTTTAAACTGACCACAATAATTTAAAGTGTTGGGTAGATTATCGCTCCTGAAGCGAGTAATTCTTTGAAGAAGAGTGATTCAGGGGATATGGTGTGCGTCACTAATTCCTTGATATTCTACACACATTGAAAAAATTATAAAACCATTATTTTGTGACTAACTGATGGGAGTATGGTTTACAAAGTATATTTTTTAATACGAGTATCCACTATACTTTATAATTTATTTTTCTATTATACATATACCTACTAGAGGTTTAATAACCGTTTAATATTTATAGTTTTTGAAACCAACCTATACTTAAATGTATTGTTATAGTCCACTTAATGTTATTTGTCAACAATTTATATGAACTGAGCTACTGAAGAGTTAACATTTAAATTTAAATTCAAATTTAAACCGTTTTAAAAAAAATGTAATATTGTTAGGAAATGTATCAATATTAACGAAATTTATTTTAATAACATTTAATGACCCTAGATCAGAGAATTTATGGGGTTTTTCTTACATTAATCTCAATTCATCAACATCATTACTTGCGAGCAATATCCGTAATTGTGAATCTTGGCTGACTGCAGGTCTAAACGACAGCGTCAGTGGAGTGTAAAAGTTGTAGAAATTTATTTGGCGGAAAACTATATCTTGAATAATTCTCTGCCAAATGGTTTTCTCTTCTTTTGCCGGGTAAAATATAATAAATAGGTATATTAAGACTAAACATAATTTGCAAAAAAGTGTTTTTAGCAAGCAACGTGGATATTGTTCGTGTCCGACGAACAAGTTTAAACACAAGGATTTCACAAGTATACGTTTTTTATAAGATAACTATTGTCTCAATATACAGGCTGCACCAGAACTCGCATCCCAGACAAAAAAGTGAGGTAAAATACTAAGAACATGGAAATAATGTTAAAAAAACTCTATATAAAAATGTCGAAGTTATGAGAGTTACAGTTTTACAATTTGACTATTTATTTCTATTGGAAAAATAATTTCCCAAGTTTTTTTGCTACAGGCTATTAGAAGAGGAAACAAATTGTAACTCTGTTTAACGTTATTTGTGGCTTTTATTGCCAAAATTTTTGTACCTTTAGTAAACAATTATAAAAAAAACATATACAAGATCATCAGTATCATAAAAAAATGTCAAATGTCAAAAAATAAATAAACAAATGACGAATTTTTTCACAGAAGAATTTTTTAAACATTTTTTACATGTTCTTGGTATCTCATCTTGCTTGAATTTATTCTCTGGGGAGCGAGTTCTGACTCACCCTGTATTTGTTTCAAAAGTGAAAAGTATTTTTTGGCCTCCTGACATGTAAATGTCAAATTAACGTACAATTGACACCTATTGAAAGACTGTATTTACAGTCGCCTGAGCATTTTACGCACAGACGAGTGTAAAGTGACAGTTTTACCGCACTGCCAAAATTATCTTCATAGACTTTTATAAAAAAAAACTGTTTGTAAGATGATAACATTTTTAATAAAACGCTCTACACACAACCTTTCAATCTTAGAACTCTTTTTTCTTCACACCACTTTATAATTATAAACACATTGTACTGGGCTTCATACCTTGCTCGCGATTTTTCGGGCAATAGCTCGGTTGTAACATTTCCTGCAGCACTTCTGATTTCTGGTGGGGTACACATGGGGCTATTATCGCTCGACATTTTGAAGCATAAATTCACCAACAAGACAACAATAACAAAACTTTGTGTCTGAGACGTTTTTGCGTCTTTTTTAATTGTTTGACATTAGAGTGCATAGCCACCGTGATATTTAATGTCAAACGTATTTACTTGTATTAATTCTGAATTTTGTAGATTTTTGTTTAAACGTCGGCCAAAAAGCTTAATACAAATCTTGTGCGTTAACCATTTTACAGTGCTCAATTATTAAAGCACTCCGCTGCGCGTCGTGCTTCAAATTCATTTCGCACTGTAAAATGTAAGTTACCGCACACGAATGTAAATAACTATTACTTTATTGACAAATATTTTTATTTTATAAAATAGTTAGTAATCAAAATTCAGCATTAACTTTAATTTTTATTCTTTTGTAACGTAGGTAAGAAGCGAGTTTATAAACATTGTCATTCAGAATGTTTTCTCAAAAAGTAATAAAGTGTTTTTCAGGATTAATAAAAGAACATCTCATAAAATTGTATGTTTAAATGTTAGCACGTAAGTATTAACACTATTTGCTCTTTTTTAATGGAAATTAAAAAAGTTATTTATCGCAAATAATATTTTTTGATTATTTGTAATAATCTAAATAAAAATAAAGAATGTTTAAACGAAAACAAGAACATGTTAAATAAATGGCTACCAACAAATGTTTAAACTTAAAATAATTAAATTGCAAAAAACATTAAAACTTGCAACATTAAAAATTGCAGAAAATACAACAGTTCATTGCCTCTACAGAAGATTAATTTAATAAACGAAAAATTAATAGCTACCTATATTCTCTCACCGGGTGTTCAAACTTCATGTAAGCTTTAATGGCAGGTGTTATTTAATTATTTTAATTTATGACATAATAAATCTAACTTAATAATTTATTATGAGTGAATCGTGTTATATAGTATATTCAAGTGTAAGTATATTTTTTACAAAAAAATAATATACAGATTTTCAAAAGTGTATCCTATAAACACGATTGTCCGGTTTTGCCACATAAAGAACAAACTGAGCAAAACACAGCTGGATAATTTACTACATATTATTAGTATCCCGCCACTGCTTCTCATATTTTTTACTGCATCTACTACAGACTGACTTTATTAACCCCCAATGTTGACACTGTGCCGCAAATTCACACAGTAAGTAAAACTAATCATTATTAAAAATGTAAATAAGAAGTAACCATGACCTTAACTTGTGGGCACACCTCGACAAAATGCCAGTAGTTTGATCCGAAATAATTTAATCTACTTTTTGTTTGATCAAAACAATTTGAGGGATTTGAATTATTATACCTCGAGATGCGTATTTTACAAATTTGTTGTTGATTTGGTAAAGTCTATCGACCCCAACAAGGTCTCAAATGTTAATCGAGCGCCGAAGGCGACAGACAAGTAAATTTTTATCGAGTTTTTGACACTGTGCTATAATAAATTTGATTGTTCTAAACAAGGGCAATTGACATTAAAATTCAACCACAAACTTTCGGTTTCATAATACAAACGTGTGTCACAAATAAATCGTCCTTAAACGTGATTAGTTAACAGTTAAGACCATTATTTTGGACTGGTAAGTACAGTTATTTGGGGCAGCCGTTCTTAATTGCCACTTAATTGATGGAAAAGTATGCGGAGACAACAATCATACAAGACATTAACATTTTTGGAAAAAAATAACGAAATTTATTAACCAACAAATACAGTTGATAAACAATGATATAAATTATTTTCAAAACAAGAAATCAAGAGCTACTCACAGTGAAACACAATTGAACAGTGACAATACGGCTGGTTACGGCACCGCGCACGTTTCCGAACTGAAGACTTAATCACGAGTAGCTCTTGATGTCTAGGTCGGAACCTATGAGAAGGTCGATGTTTGAGACCATTAGCCGCGCTGTCTGTGTCATCTTTGCGATATTTTAATACCTCACACCAGTCAAGGGATCAAATTAACAAACAATACAGAGAAAAAGAAAAAGTGGATTATTATGACCTCGGCAAAAATGGAAGTTATTAAACCATCTACAAAGACAACTTTTCTTCAGGCTTGAGTTTAGTCAATTCTTCGCTCTTTTCCCAAATTTCGTTACAAAACTTTTTATTCCAAGCTTTCGGAGGTTGGATAAAAGTTCGACAATCCCAGAAATGTTTCCCCGTTACATTGTTTAAATGATTTGAAACTGCCAGGGTTATAGTTGTTTGGGCACCTTCTTTCGGAGTCTTTGAAAAAGAAAAATATATTAAAATTAAAAAAAAAATCAAACATATCTGAATGTACTCACTTTACCGTACAAGTACAAAATGGTATTTGCAAATAATTTTCCAAATGTTTCAATTCCTATAATTCTGGCCGACTTAAGGTGAATTTCAGTGTTAACAAGACCCGGATGGAGTGAATTTGACGTAACTCCAAATTTGCTCAACCTCTCGGCAAAGCCATTGGCCGCAATGATGTTGCACAATTTTGAATTGCCATAAATGAAAGATGATCGAAAGAAAGTCGTTGGATGGTTATTTGGGTAATTCAAATTTTTCACTGTTAGATTATTCCAAAAAAAGGCTGTGGCAGAACTTACAAAAATGATTCTGCTTGGAGCTGATTTTTTTAACAGATCTACAAAATTATTACGTTTAGATAAAACGACAAAAAGTGTAAAACACAACTACCAGCCAGTAAATGAGTTAGAAGGAAAGGACCAAAGTGATTGACTTGCATAGTAATATGTAGGCCATCATCAGTATGTTTATTTCCGACGGATCCTGCGCCAGCGTTGTTGATCAAAATATCCAGTCGGTCTTCAGTTTCGTTAATTTCTTTTGCAAATCGTCGAATTGACTGGAAGGAAGTTAAGTCAAGATGTTTTGTTTCGATGTTTGTGTTGTTGGTAAGGTCAATGATTTTGTATTTGGATTTGGTGGCGTCTTCTCGGTCCGCGATTATTACTCGACAACCGCGGGAGGCCAGTTGGAGAGCCGTTTCAAAGCCGATTCCTGAAAAATATATATACAAAATATTATTTTTATTGCAATTAAAAATATAAATACTAACTCCTTTGGTCTTTCAGATGCATCAAATAGTTAAGGCGTAAATTAAACCAAGTTAAAAATCTGCAGTGCGACTTTGATTATCCGAACCCACGATATTCCCTGTAATCTGTCTTCTGAACGCGAATAAAATAACACACACTATTTACCCAAACATCAAACGCTTATTTAAACACTACGCGTTTCGACCACAAAGTGGTCATCCTCAAGTAAGAATTTAAATTTTGGGTTTGAGTAAATAGTGTGTTATTCTTTGTAATTCAAACCACTTTTTTATTAAAACCGGAAAAAATCGTTATAGTGTTTCAGGAGAAAAATAATGTATACTTACGTAACATACGTCAGAACTCTTAATTATAATTTTAATTTTATTTTATGTCAGTCGGTTTATTCAACTTTTTTTCTTTATGAAACAGTTGAATATGATCACATTACAATTGAATGTGTAAGTTGTCATTTGAAAAAAAAAAATAAGTTGAGTATAGATCTAGAGCAGTGGAACCTCTTACATTACATACAGGCTGACCCAGAAGTGTGTAATCGGTCCATAACTTTTTTGTTTCATGATATATTGACATGCCGTTTTCAACATTTGATATATCTACTTAAAGTACACCATTTAAAAATATTTTTATTATATAAGTACAGGGTGTTGTATAAAAAATAAATAAAAATAGATCACCCTACATATTATTATATTGTTAGTTTCTACGTAAAAAAGTAATGGTACTTTGTGTAAACTGTAATAGGTCTATCTCTTTCCGTTTTAAAAATATTCAACTTTCTGTTATAAAAACACCAATGTTTGAAAAGTTACTGCGTAGTCGGCTACGAATATTTTCCGAAAAAATTGCATAAGAAAAACTTAAAATAAGTATTTTTAGGAATTACACGACTTTTAGTCAAGTACGCAGATACTTTACAGGGTGTGCCAAACGAAAAGAGTTAAATACATTTTTTTTTTTTTAAATAAAACACCCCAAATTTGTTTTTAACGATATGCAATTTGTGTAGTAAATTTGCAATATGTCCCGAAATTTTCAAAAAAAGTTTTTTATCATAAATAATCATGTTCTTATCAACTTTGTGTTATTCTACAGTACGATTAAAAAGTCTTTGGATCAAGTAGGCGGACTAGAGTTAAAGACGTATGTCGCATGACAGTTCGTATGTTAACTGTCAAATAAATATTTTATAAAAAAAATATTGATCTAAGCAAATTGAATTATTCTATAAAACGTCTCAAAACATCCTAAAATGAGATATTGTTGTTGTTTATTCATACAAATCGTATATCACGGTGCCCTGTCATAATTAAAAAAAATCTTTTGACATTTCTTATTTGTCATTTGAACATTTTGTCTTCCGCAGACACACGTTCAAAATTTTTACGCTTGCTTGATAGAAAGACTTTTTAATTCCAGTGTACAGGGTGCTGCATTTTGGATGTCCGAATAGAAAATCTCCGAAACTAATAAGTTTATAACACATACAATAATACATATTTTTTTTAATTTATGTTAATTGATATTAATTTTGTACTTTAATTTGCAATGCGGTTTCAGTGTTTTTACATTGACAAAATAAATAGTAAGCTTAATTTTTATGTAATTTGTAGAAAATAAAAAAAAAACGGAATTACCTGAACCACCTCCCGTGACAATCGCTGTTTTTCCATTCAAACAAACTAAGCTTTTGCACCTGCCTGTTGTGAACTTTTGAATAATCTTTAAAATAACCAATCCTATGATGGGGAATGTGACTGTGGCCACCGCAAAGGCGACGTATTTTAGATATGCGTGATAAACAATCATCTTAGAACCTCTGATGAAAGACTGATCTTAGAGAAAGTCAGCAACACATTATATTCAGCTTTCTTAAAGAGAAACGGTACTTGCTTTAAGGTGAAGTATAAAAAACCTAGACTTTCTATCCTTTGTGGGGCTTCTAAATATCCATCGATTTTCCACATTATCTTTAAATACCCACAAGTTTGTATCGATTCGTTGCTAAGCAAATTATTTCTGAGTCACACAGTGGGGTGGATGGGTTTGAACAAGGTCCTCTATTTAGTCCATTAAAAACCTAAAAAACAAGAAATTGTGCATTGATGCGTTAGCCGGAAACGGAAAAAGCATTTGTGTCATTGTATTTTCATAACACACACATACGTGAAATTAGGTGTCAGTGAAATGAGTTCTTTCTATTTCATCTTAGTTATCTTAACGAATCTTTGTGTGACACAGTCAGATGTTAGTGTTAAAGAAGTATTTAGGAGAGAAGGAGACGTTAATGTAGCTCTGATTTTACACAACGACTGTAATAGCACAACGGTGCTAACAGAACAAGAGCAATCATTGGTTAATTCAGCGATTTGGACAGTGCACCAGCTGAATTATTCGGAACTTATCAGTTTTGGTATGTCCATTTACAAGACCTGCAATGAAAAAGAAGAATATCAAACTATATTTGAACTGTTTCAAAAACAAGATGAAAATTTTCTCTTGGGGTTAATTAGCACTTCACTAAAGCCACACATTCGAAAACTTTGTGATGCACTAGATTTGGTTGTTCAACCGACTGTGAAGTGTCCTACACCGCTAGTTAAAGCATCAATTGAATTGTTAGAACGTCTAAACTGGATTGAAAATGTGACAGTGATTGCTTCGAATGAATTCACTGTAAATGAGTTTTCAATAATGTCACAAAAAAAATGGATCTGCATTACAGATTTTGTAACATATAAGTGAGTATCTTTCAACAACATACCTACATACTTATAGAATGTCCTAAAAATAATTGAAAAAACTCACAATATGTAATAATAATAAAAAAAATAAAATTTCACCTTTTTCAATCTTAGCAAGTGAAAATAGGGTAAACATGTTTCCATAAACTTTTCCATTATTTTTTGTTCATAAACAGATGAGCTATTTAAACGTTTTCACAACTTGAATTGTGAAATATTAAAATTGAATTTTAGAATCGATTTTTTCAATTCGTTATTTATAGGACGTCCTATAGTTTTGTACTGTCATTTGATTAAAGTACTAATAGCAAGAAACGAGAGTGAGTACAGAATGTCCCACCTAAAACTTCCCAGTCCAATGTCTTACTTATTAATTCAGCTAAGAAATTGTTTTTGTTTAGTAGCTTGTGGTTAATTTTGAATTTTGTCTATTTTTTAAAAGACATTTTTTTTGCTTTATAAGTAAAGTTTTAAGTTGCGACTTACGCAATATCATTGACCTAAAATCACAAACAAAATAGGATTTAGCAGCTTTATACTCGTAATATGCTATTAACCAGTGGTTAAAATATAAATTAATATTATTATTTTATTTATTCCGTTTTTATATTTTCTTTTACTGTTTATTATTTCTTTCACAAATTTTAAATAATTGTAGAAGTGTGTTCTACACTTCTCTTATTTTTTTACGTTTTCATTTTGTCTGTTATTATTAAAAACTCAATGTAGTTGTTTGTACGTGTTTTCTTTACATTCGTTATTTATGGTTAGCCATTAGCCTGTAGTGTATTAATTTATAAATATAGCTTTTCTAAATGTTCCCAGAATAACTCAAGTCTTGCTACCATTTTAATAGTTCAAAATTCTGTTTAAAAGAATTGTTGTTTCTTAAAACTAATAATAGCAACAGAATAAAAAAAATTCATAGTCGTGTTTTTAATTTTGAAAAACATTTTTTTCAAAAAGTAAAAAAAGCAATAGTAATAATAGTATACCAGGTGAATAAGTATGGAACCAAACGTTTTTTGCTTAAACTATTAATTTTTTGGAAAAACTAATTGATGAACGATAAAGTACTTTAAAGATGTGATATTTTATCAAGAATAAAATTTTTCGAAATTTTCTTTTGTTTTTGAGTTCTACAAAAAAAAATATTTTTTTAAATAGTAACCCCCTATAAAACTATTTTTCTCATAAAGGTTATGATCTAAGGGTTACAACTATCTACTTCATATTTAATTTTTTCAATTTTTTTTTTTTATAAATTGCAATTTATAATTGCAATAAACCGCTTGGTTCCAGACTTTATATTCACCCTGTAAGTATTACCTTTTTAGGAGTAAAACTGATCACTTATGTGGTGAAGCTGAGCCACAAACTCATTTTAAATCCGAATAACATAATACTATTTTATCCTTAAACATATTTAGATCATAACACTATAATTATTATCAAGTAAATGAATAAAATAGTCAGAACACTTTACCATATAATGAAATCATATAACAACGCTTATACAAGGTATTTCACGAATAATAATGACCCTGACCAAATTTGAACTGCAGCCAGCAATATATTTGCATAGGCTTCATGGATTTTGATTATGAATTTTAAAATTAATAAAACATAGTTATCGCGTGACTGACACAAAGAAATTGACAAGAAAGGAAACACAAGTTTTAAGGTTATTTGTCTCTCTACTGTTGGAAAACACTTTAGTTATTCAAGCCTTTTTGGAGCTTTTCTATTCGGGAAACATTGTCTTTACAAACGCTCAACGCCAGAAACATATTTTCCAAATTCGCCATGAATGAGAATCAAATCTGTTTTCTCATCGTTCGAATGCATTTTGACTTTTTGCTAAATTTAAAGTCAGTTGTGACAAATAAAATTATTGGAAGCAAAGCTGTCGTGGATTCATAATCGGTTTTTAAAAAAATTATATATCTAAAATATCCACGTTAACTTTGCTAATGTATTGTGGGTTGTATTTTCAATTCCGTCAGGGGGCTCATTATCACTCGTGAAATGCCCTGTATACAAATATCACGCGTCAGTATAAGAATTTGTATTGTGATTTTTAAAAGTGTTTATTAATTTAACTATACAGAGTGCGCCAGAACTCGCGCCCATGGAACATGGAAAAAATGTAAAAGAATTCTATTTATAAAAATTTCGAAGTTATGAGAGTTTTAATTTTGCACTTTGACTCAATTTCTGTTGAAAAAATAATTTTCCAAGTTATTTTGCTACACAGGCTATTAGAAGAAGAAACAATGAATCCTAAATTGTAACTCTGTTCATTGTTATTTGTGGTTTTTATTGGCAAAATTTTTGTACCTTTATTAAATAATTGTATAAAAGACCTATACAAAATCATCAGTATCATTAAATAAACATTAAAAAAAAATGTCAATGTCAAAAAATAAATGTCAAAATTTTTAACAGATAGAATTTTTTCCATGTTCCTAGTATCTTATCTTACTTGAAATTTTTCTCTGGGGCGTGAGTTCTGGCACACCCGGTATAGTGCAGTTACTAGTGCAAAATGTCGAATGCTCATAATATACAATTTCGCCCTTCAGAAATTGCTAAAGCAGCAAAAGAGACAAAGAAAGACACAACAATGATAAATGTCAATAATGTCATAATAAAAGTAAAAACGCTTAGGCGCAAAAATAGAGTTTTTACTCCATGGCTAAAAGGTAAAACTTTTACTTGTAACATTTACCTAGTCAGAAACGTAGTCACTTTTGTCATGTTTGCGGCTAAAACCATTTTTATTTATAAAACTTGCTCTTATTAAGGCTATCTATTGTAAAATAATTAACATTTTTGCTCTAGTAACGAGTAAGACTACTTTGGAAAGGTTTAGGTGAGACAACCTGTACACCAGGTCAAAAAACAAGTGTTTTTTGTACTTAATGCAAATTTGCAGTTTGTTTCAAAAATGAAATTTTTGCATTTTTTTATTTGAATTTTATTTTTTTTATTTTTTTTAAATATTTTTTGATAAAAATAAAAAAAAACTAGATAGTTGTAGTTCTCTTGACTTATAACCATAAGTCATAATCTTTGTCAAAAAAAATATGACATAAAATAGGTGAGGTGAAGTAAATTTGAAGTACAAAAACATAATAAAAATTTTCAAAAATTTTAATTTTTTTAAATTATCGCAATTTTATAGTACTTTAGCTTTCTTACAATTTTTTGTTCAGCCTGTCTATGAATTTAAATTTAATTTTGCAGTTAAGATAAAAATGTTGTAATGTTGTTATTCTTTTTTGTTTTATTGTTGCTAACTGTAAATTTCAGGTCGTTTATACCTTTAAGAAACTACACGAACGAGTACTTGGTAATTTTTGCAAAGCAAAAAGTCTTTAAAACATTCGTTGAGAATTCTAACATGTCGAATGTAATCTTTGTTCCGGAAGACGATTTTTTTCCAAATGGTACTTATTTTGACACGCTTCAAACACCTTTTATGCTTTATTTTCAGATGTACCTGAAAACAGCTACGTTATAAGTAGTAAATCCTACAACTTCGAACAAAATGTTTACACTCCCAATCCTCAACTTTTCGAAGTTGCTATTCCTCTTGTAAACTACGCTCAAAAACTAAATAATTTAATGGCTGAAAATTGTAATGAAACGAATTATAAACAGTGTTTTAAAACCAACTACTGCACTGTCCCCCAAAAGTTACCAGAACCATCTGAAATCGTTAAGATGCTCAAAATTGAACCTTCCAGTATTAATTACTTCATTTATAAGGCTGAAAACTTAACATTGAACAAAATGTTTGTCTATAATGCTTTTAAAAATAATTTGACAGTATTAGAACCTGACTATGCTAACCAATCATCTATGTTAAGTTGCTTGTCTGTGAAACATGGTTGTCAAAAGCAATGCAAAAACTTTCAGAATCAAATCAAATTAGTTTCTTCAAACTGTGAAATTAGAATACGAACCGACTCTTGGATTTTTGCTTTCTTATCATTATCTCTCTTGGGTGTATTGTTTTGCATTGCCATTTTAATTTTTCTTTTGGTTTCGGTTTGTCGTCGGAACGTTCTTGAAGGTAACCCAGTCCAAACATTATTATTATTAATTACTTTAATGTTAATGTATTGCTCAATCCTTTCATTGTCTTTGGAAGGTAATAAGTCCGCCAAACATGCAATATGTATGGCTAGAGCTTTGTCAATAACTCTCAGTTTCGCTTCTGCGTTTTCTTTATTGCTAAGTCGAAGTATTGTCTTAGCCACAGCTTCCAAAGAGATTGGTTTTATGTCACACATTGCTGGTCCAGTTCAGAGTTTCCTATGCCTCTTTATTTTTGGAGTGCAAGCAGCTCTAAGTCTGCAAATCATTAATCACTGTGAGGATATTTTCCGAGGTCATTCTTTTGTTTATCTTTTATCATACAACATAATTCTTCTTCTCCTACTCTTGTGTTTTTGTCCCTTGATTTTTAAATGTCAGAGAAATTATCGAGAGGGCAAGTATTTTACTTTTGCTACAATTATTATTTCCCTTTTGTGGTGCCTTTGGATCCCGGCTTACATATTCCTTGGTGATTATTATCAAGATTCCGTCCTTTGCTTCGGTTTGGTTTCCACCGCTAGTGTTTTATTGGCCACAATCTTTATTCCACGGACATACTTGATGACCATCGCTGCAGCTCGCGATAAGATTACAAGCACTTTGCCATCTCTAGCTTCAGCTACAAGCGCAATGGATATTTACAGGAGCGGAGCTCAGGTAAAAGCTTGTCTACTTTCTTTTTAAAACGGGACTTGACACACTCTCCCACTAACTGTGTTTATTATTTTTTAGCCGGTTTATGACTGTGTCAATGTGGCCGCAATTAATGCGGTACGAGTGGCAGCAATTCAACATCCCGATCTTTATTCCTGTCCGCATTTAGCAGAAGATGATTTTAATTTACGATGCGACACGCCAGTGACTGATGATAAAGTGACAAGGTTTTGAGACCAACGTATTGTCATGGAACTATTTATTTGCACAATAATAAAGGAAAGGATGTGTAATTTTTAAAGTGCGAACAGTTTCCGCAAAACGGATTAGATAAGATTTTTATTTCATTTTAGTTTTATAATCGTAGTGACCGAGTCTATGTAACAATAATTATCAATTATAGTCGTATACAGGGGGTCCCAAGTTTTAGGGCCGGCGCAGAAATAAATATCGAGATCGAGTCATTGTTGAATCCGAAAACGTATATCTGTGAAACATCAAATAAAATGACAAGTCGAAAAGTAAAATGGCATGATCAAAAAGATGATGATTTTAAAAACTAAATTTATGACTTCAGAAAAATCGGTCGGCGACTAATCTAATTCCAGCCCATTTTGCCGCTTTAGCTTTCGATTTGTCATTTTATTTGACGTTTCACGTGCAGTTAGTTCAAAAACCGAAATACGTTTTTGGACTCAAAGATGACTCGTTTCAAATTATCTTAATCCATTGATATTTCTAATTGATTAAAAATATGTGATAGCGCACAATAAGCGCAACCCCTCAATATTAAAATGTTAATCATTCAACTATCAACTTTTTCATTATTCTATTTCCACAAATACCACAGCAAAAATCAAAATATTTTATCATGTAGAAAATATTTCAGTTAATTTTTTTTTTCTCCAAATTTAATTTTTAAGGTCTCTCTGTCATACCCTAAAAATTTTGTACAAAATCAAAACATCAAATTGAAGTTTATTTTATCCTCTATCCTTTACACTAATAATTTTTTAATGAATTAAAAATATTTATTTTTGCCGCAGCCCTAAAACTTGGGATACCCTGTATAGTAGTGGTCAAATATTTGCACGTTTTTACTTCCTACTTTTTAATTTCAATTCTAAAAATTGTACTTTATATCAAGACAAAAAGTATCATTTGAGTTAAATTTGTCTGCAAGACATAAATAAAACTTGAACAACGATTTGCCTCCAAAGCACCTATACAAAAAAGCAGAAAACCTACAATCTGGACTTTAATATCAATTATTATTAGCGAGCCTTGGGTATTTAAAAGTCCTCCGCTGGGCGGAGTCATAATTTTTAGATTCAAATTTTAAATTTCCTTTTAAACTAGTAAAAAAATGTAGCTTGGAACAGCTAAAGGTGTAATAAATTAAAAGTGCTTAATTTAATGTATAAATAATTTTTGTCTGTCCATGTATTCTTTATACCTACTATATGTTATACAGATGTGTATAAGTCAATAGCAGTAATTTATTGTATCTAATTTATTTTGTCATTTCCTTTTTACTAGTCAATAAATTTTTACTGTCTTAAGCTTGTGTATAAAATCCCCGAATTGGATCCCTGGCCAAGGGTGATAACAATGTTAGCATCGAGACTAACCGAAGCGTTAAATTTCTCATTGAAAACCACTTTATACAATTTCCCACTTTCCTGCGACAGATGCTCCTCGATTAACATCCCTTGGAAAAGTTTAGTTTAATGCTAGTCCTTCGACACGATGCAAGTCTTGCAATCTATACGAAAGTCAAATATTTATTTATTTGTTATAATTTATTTATCGTTTTTCTTAGACAATGTGCTTCTTACTGTAGTTGGTAAGTTTCTAAATTTTGATTATATTACCCTGAACTGTTAAATTTTAGTTCCAATTATTCCCGATTATTTATTTTCAAATCAACTAAAAACTGATAACTCAAGACTAGGCCTTAAATCGTTAAGCCCTTTACAGGAAAAATATGAAGTTTTGGAAAACGACAATGGGCCTTTAGGTACTCTTTTAGCATCGAAGGCATTTGTTCAATTGGCTTTTACTCCTTTCATTGGTTATCTAACTGAAACTGTGGGCTGTTGTATACCTCTGTTACTTGGATCGTGTAACATGCTTGTAGCTGCAATCTGTACATTTATTAGATTTACTTGTAAAGCACACAAATTTGATTCCTATTTTTCAGTGTTTGCTTATGGAAATTCATATGGTGTCTTGGTACTAGCAAGAGCTCTCCATGGCAGTTCCTCTGCTGCAATAGCAGTGAGTGGAATGTCAATTTTAGCAAAAAACGTCTCTCAAGAATTTAGAGCAAAACTGATGCCTCTTGCTTTTGGAGGAATAGCTTTAGGAGTTTTGATTGGGTATCCACTTGGAGGTGCTGCCTATCAATTTCTTGGAAAGTCTGCCCCTTTTTTGTTGATTGCATTTTTAATATCAATCAGCATTGGTAAATGAAGATATTTTTATAACAAATTACCATGTGATTTTAGTTCTCCAGATTTTGTATATTGAGGATGTTACGAACGATGTTATTATTGATGAAGTTAATTGCAGTCAATTTCTGAATTTTTTACAAGATAAGCAAATAATTATTACAACTTTTACGATTTGCATTTGTACTTCCACTATGGCAATTTTAGAACCTTGTGTACCAATGTGGTTATTGGCCTATCTGAATCCTCCACCGTCACGATGGCAGTTAGGTGCTGTTTTCATACCGGACAGTATTGGCTATTTTATCGGTTCACATTTTGCTGGTAATTATTCTTTTTTATTAATGATCTTTGCGTCACCTCTTATGAGAATAAAATTAAAGAAATTTGTTTAAAGTCGACTATTTTTGAAATGTGTTAATTAGAACATCATCAGAATTAAAACATTAATTATTATTTGTGTTAATGCTTAATATACAGGTGTCCTAACAAGTTTGGTGTTAATGACCTTTACATGTAAAAATGTATACAAAATGTTTCAGAATTTTTTTTTTTGAGAACATTTTCAGAAAAAGTTCAGAAAGCTAGAACAAAGTGATTTGAATGAAAAATGATTTGATTTGAAAAAGATTTGCCCTTATATTTAAGGCTAGTGCCTTAAACTTCTAGATCCACTTTACTCAATGATCAGTGGTCATTTTTAGAACAAAGAAACTCTTTATTTGCTTTAATGTAAGCAGGTACTCTTTATTTGTTTTAAATAAACAAACAGTTTTTGTTTATTCTAATTAGAACAAGAAAGGTGAAATTGACCATTTTTAAGCAAAAGAAGAGTCTTAAAACAAATACTTTTATAAAAATGCAATTTTAAATAAGATTAACATGCATTTCTCCCATATGGCGCAATGTTTGATTAGCAAATCTTAACTTCAAAAAACTATTTCTTGAAAACTACTCAGTATATTCTTTTCAACTAATAAAGAGATGCTCTATACGATGGTGATGATGATCCCTTTAGAATGGTCTTTATTTGAAAAAAATCGGCTAATAGTTATTGAGTAATAATTTTTTGATGTTAAAGTATTTTAAATTCATTTAAATTAGAAAAAAACTATTTCATTCAAAGTTTGTGAACTTTTTGAATTTTTTTAGTGCATTTTATTTTAGTCCGGTCAAATTAGTCATAAAAATAGTGGTCAAATAACAAAAATTCCGACAAAGCTAAATTTTGGTGGAGACCTTGGATACACCATTAGAAATAAAGTGTCAAAAGTCCCCATCGATCCCATGTGTGCTAAAAAAGTTATTCAGGGTCAAAGGTCAAAATTTGAGGTGTTATGGATTTCCTTCGAAAATGGTAAGTTTTATCAAAAAAGTAGTCCAGACAAAAAAGATAGACCACACATACATAGTGCGCCAGAACTCGCGCCCCCAAAAAAAATGCTATGTAGGGTAAGGTACCAGGAACATGGAAAAAATTAAAAAAAAAATTTATTTATAAAAATTTCAAAGTTATGAGGGTTTAAAGTTTGCACTTTGGCTCTATTTATTTCTTTTAGAAAAATAAATTTCCAAGTTTTTTTGCTATAGGCTATTAAAAGAAGAAACAAGGAAGCTGTATCTTAAATTGTAATTCTGTTCAATGTTATTTGTGGCTTTTATTGGCAAAATTTTTGTCCCTTTACTAAATAATTATAAAAAACATATACAAGTTCGTGAGTATCATTAAATAGACATAAAAAAATGTCAAATGTCAAAAAATAAATGTCAAATTTTTTTGACAGATAGAATTTTTTAAACATTTTTTCCATGTTTCTGGTATCTTATCTTGCTTGAAATTTTTCTTCTACTTCATTAAACTTATAAATATCTCGATTCCAATAGAATTAAAAAGAATTTATTTGGTAATACATACAGGTGTACAAAAAATCTCGCACTTCCTTGAAAGGGAGTAATTGGGTAGTCTCCAGAGTACTAAAAAAATGTTGAAAAAATTCTATCTGTCAAAAAATTTTGACATTTATTTTTTGACATTTGACATTTTTTTATGTCTATTTAATGATACTGATGATCTTGTATATGTTTTTTTATAATTATTTACTAAATGTACAAAAATTTTGTTAATGAAAGTCACAAATAACATTGAACAGAGTTACAATTTAGGATACAGCTTCCTTGATTCCTCTTCTAACAGCCTGTAGCAAAAAACTTGGAAAATTGTTTTTCCAACAGAAAGAAATAAAGGCAAAGTGTAAAAATTAAACTCTCATAACTTCGAAATTTTTATAGATAGAATTGTTTTTTAATTTTTTCCATGTTCCTGGTACCTTACCCTACATAGCATTTTTTTTGGGGGCGCGAGTTCTTACGCACTCGTGGCACAATGGGCCCGAATGAGAGGCCTCAGTGCCGGAGGGACTTGAAGTCCTTCACTCTCCACATTCAATCCAGAATCCATTCAATCTGGCGCACTCTGTATGTGCATATCATATAGAAAGTGACTCCTTCAACTTTTAAAATCCCGATATCTCAGCAATGGTGATTCTTAGAAAAAAAGTATAAGAACTTTTTTGTAGATAATTTTAAGGTCTATCTTTTTTGTCTGGACTACTTTTTTGATAAAACTTACCATTTTCGAAGGAAATCCATAACACCTCAAATTTTGACTTTTGACCCTGAATAACTTTTTTAGCACACATGGGATCGATTGGGACTTTTGACACTTTATTTCTAATGGTGTACCCAAGGTCTCCACCAAAATTTAGCTCTGTCGGAATTTTTGTTATTTGAAATGTCTATTTTGACCGGACTATTTGTCCCATTGAGACGAACAAGATGATATTCAGGTGATTCTTAAATAGACCGACAAAATTTTATCTTTGGTAGTATCAAATGAGAACATCCTGGAAAAAATATTAAAAAAAAAGCTTTGTTTAACCGTTTTCAAAATAAAATTTATTAAAGTTATTTTCGAGGTAAGGCGTACGCCACTGATATGTTCATAAATAGTATTAGCACAAGTAGTGGAAACCATGGTATTAATTTGAAGAAAATGTACTTGATCATTGCAACAATTCATAGACGCCGTAAGTGGCACGGATCAAGGGAGTTTTGCCCCTAAAAAATATAAACGTAAAAAGGGTACAGTTTGTATCCATTTATTCTTGGGAAGGTGTGATAAAATTTTTGTTGGTCTATTTAAGAATAATATGTCAAGTTGTCATGACATGCCCTTTTTTTGTCGCACTGTATGTGATGTTCTTCGTATTCTAACATTTTGGAGGTTTTGAAAAATGTAAAAAAAAAATGTAAAAAATTCGAGGTTAAAATCTGCTGTGAATTTTCAAAAGGTATTAAAAATTAGATGTCCCATTTCTTGTTTCGCATAGTACGAATACAAGTGTGTTTTTCCTCCTTTTAATCCTTTTTTATATTGTTTATTATTCAATTTTCATGAAATTTGATTAATTATGATAATTATATTCATAGGCTGTAAATTGTTTTCTTTTTCAGGCCTGCTTCCAATCGCGCCTTGGAGAATAGCTTTCAGTGCATTAGTTCTAGCTGGTTTAAGCTGTTGCGCTTTGCCATTGGCTGTCTCTATTTATCAATTATCGATTCCTCATTTCGGACTTGGATTAAGTGTGGGAGCCGTAGACGCCGCTTTAGTTCCATATTTAGCCACTTTGGTTGATAGTAAGGGAAGCAATCAGTACGGAACCGTTTACGCCCTTCAGCAAGTTTTTGTCAGCTTGGCCTACGCTTTTGGCCCCTTATTAGGTGGACATGCTGTCCGTATTTTAGGCTTTCCATGGTTGATGAGATTGATTGGATTTTTAAATTTGATGTTCTGTCCCTTACTATTAGAATTAGAAAAAGTAAAATGCAGTAGTAATTTTTTATATAATTACTTATGGGTTATATTTTAGGATCCAAAAGTTGGTTTACTTGATGATGACTATAATACTCCTAGATCCTACTCTACTCTTGATAATACTTACACATCTTTAGACGAAGAAACTTACTAATTTAATTCATATCAAAATGTGTGATGTAACGCGTATGCTTCTTGGTTGTTATTCCTCTTGAAATTTATTCGGCCAATTTATTTGTAAATCTGATGTAATAAACTGACAGTGTTTGAGTAAGGGCTTGCTTATTTCCCGAATGGCGCGCTCTAACTTCATTATAGTAACACACCATCCGACTAACTCGATCTTTTTGTTTGGATTGTAAGTTAAGAAGGATGTTCTCGTGTTTATTTGCCATTTACCTCCATCTACGACGAATACAATACTGACACGCTTTCGGAATTAATAAAACCTCATTCTTTCTAGGGAATAAAGTAGTTTTATCGGATCAAATTGTATGTTTTAACATGATAGTATGATAACACAGGCCTGTAAAAAACACTTTTTTAAAAATGCTTTGAATTCTTAAACTCTTTTTTCTATTTCGGTGCTAGAATAAGTCTATTCCAGCACCCAAATGACGTCATTTGCGTGCTGGAATAAGTCGTTCGCGGTAATTTAATTTTAGTCACGGACTTTCTTCACAATTCATTTTAAAATGTGAAAATATGAATTATTTTCATTTTGTACAGCCGCCTAAAATTATTCCACATACCTAAATATCGTCAACCGTCGCAAAATTCTCTAAAAAAAAATAAATTTTCGTTTTTTAATTTATAAAATGATATAAAGCGGCAAAATAAAAAAAATAGTATAAAGCTCTTGTTGCAGAAGGTTCTTCAAGCACTCATTTGTTCCTCAACTCTCCGCTACGCGGCTCGTTTCGGAATTTCAAATTTGTGCAACTTGTACTTTAATATACTATTTTGATATGATATCCAATTTTTCAAGAATAAAATTATTTGAATTTTTTTTAGTTGCAAACAATTTTTTTGATGGTCCCACTATACTATACTATAATTAAAAATTTTTATTTAAAAACCATCTAAATCAAATTGTGTTTTAACCTGTAGGTTTTTTTTTAATTCGGACGGGTTAAAGATGCAGGAAAATGAGTAACCACATTGATTAAGTTTAGAAAATTTTTGTGACGAGCTCGGAACGCAACTACCTATAACAATTTATTTTTTATTATACCTACATCATAATCCTAAATTAAAATACGCTGTGGCGTGCGTAATTTGGCCTTTATAACACGCTGAAATTTTTTTTAAAGTTGTCTAAGTAACAAAAAATAGTGAAATGTCTGGACCAATTACAACGTGAAAAAATGTGCTTAACAACGTAAACTAGTAACCGTCTCTACGAAAACGATTCACAAACAACGTTTGATAATTTTATTGTGTAAATTCACATTCGTAAATGGACAGGTATAATAAAAAATAGCGTATAACACTCGTTTATATGCGCCTTTAAAACACTTACACTTTTTAGATCATGGTCTTTAATTAAAAAATTGTTATAGTAGATTGCTGTTAAAAAATATTTTTGTTTGCTAAACTCAAAAAAAAAATTCGAAAAACCAATATCTTCGTAGTAAATACACTGTACTAATTATATCTTTGTAAGGTACTTTTCGCAAAAAAAATGTAAGACAAATAACGTGTTTTTATTAAAGAAAACTCGGACTAGGCGAACGTATGTCGTCGTATGTATTGTTCTCTAATGAGTAATGTAAAAAAAAATCATACCACGCCAGGGTTGTTCCAGCTTCACTGGAACTTCCTTTTTAATTTTTTCACCTTAGTTTGTTTTAAATTTGTTGTCAACTAATACTGTGATTTCTATTTAAAATTCTTATTGTACAGATGATGGGTTTTCACCCAAAGCTGTAGTTTGCAGATTTCTTATGTAATAAGCTGTGGTCAAATTTTAGGTGGCTTTTGACATCTTCAAATTTGAAAAGAAGCTTTGTGATTTACCCCTATTTCCGACAATTTTAACTTTATAAATGAGTTTCAAGTTCAATTCTTTAAATTTTAGTTTAATGGACCATTGAAAATTATGTAAACTATAATTTTCGACACATTCTGTTAACTGTTAGATTTTTAAAGCCACGTATTATACAGAAACATCATGAATAGATTATAATAGATAAGTTAAAACACATTAAATTATACTCGTTCTCATTTATTTATGGCTTTTTAAATTTAAGTGTGTATGTGTGCTGAATTTCTCTGTAAACACCTTCGAGAATCAATTATCACAATGACGCCAAACATTCATTTTGCGTATTAAAATAAAAAGTAGCAAATACTAAAAAAACATATATTTAACAAAAAGATTTGTAATGATTAAAACAGACGACACAATTGCTTTTAAGTATACATGATGACGATTATAAATACACATTAGATGTAAATAAGAATACATCAAATCTACTCTTTATATCTTGTCATTCTTATTGCACATAAGTTTACTGTCTAGGTTCCAACCTAGCATAGAGGCTATGTTTGCACTGTTCACATTCACAAAATCCTGGGACATAAACTGGACTAGGTAAAACAGGTTGGGGATTAAACAACGGCAAAAAAGGGTACAAACTGTGCATGAAAACCTTGCTTCCAGAAATCAAGGGTAATGAATTTTGGTGTAGAGTATTGAAAGGTTTAGGTTTATTAGCATCAACGGGTTTGAAAGCAGAACTGTTTTCTTCTTTGGTGCTAGATTCGGACTCCGAAGAACTAGTATTCGATTTAGTCAAGTTAAAATGTTCTATGGCTTTAAGTAAATCGTGATTGCAACGTTTCAGGACGAGTTCTAAGACTGATCTTTTTTTGTTAGGGAAAAGTTTGCTAAGCATATCGATAGATGCTGGACTAACAAGGACTTCATCTTGGGTTTCTTGTTGCGAAGTTTGTTTTTCTTCTTCCGGTTCAGGTGATGTGACTTGCATGCCATAAATACGACCAGGAGGGAGATAATCGTAAGTGGTGCCGTTTTCTGCGGAGGCTAGATGAAGGGCGATTGCATCTTCGGCCGCTTGTTGTCGTTTTAGGGCCACCTGAGAATTAGGGAATTTAATTATTGATTTGTGAGGGTTTTGATGATATCAGATTTGCAATGATTACCAATGGATGTTTGTAGAAGGATACACGATACTTGGTTAATGGAATATCGATCAAACACTTCAGTCTGTCACCGGATAGAATTACGAAATCATCGAAGGTTTTGTTGTAAATAATGGTAGTTGTTGGAGAGATTGTATTAGGCATAGGTCGAGTTGATAACGATTTGATTCGATTTGATTGTAATCTCATACATTCATAGTATTGGAACTTAAAAAATACACTTATGTAAAATAATCATACAGTGTGTTCCCGGATAGACAATTCTTGATCCATATTTTCATTTTTTGGATATCAGCCCTGCTTGGTTAAAGACCGATTTCTATCATTATTTATACGAAGTGAAAATTAAAAATCGTTGTCGACCCAACCGAGACAAAATAAAAAGATCAAATTTAGACTAGGACTAGTTTCGGATTAATTAAACCATCTTCAGCAAACTACGGGTGGAAAAAGTGTTAAAAAATGAAACTACTTGATAAATTGAATTAAAAGGTTAATAAAGAATGCTGAAAAAAGGTTAAAAAGTTAAGAGCATAACGTACTAAAGGTACAATTGTGAGCATTAAATTTTGGTATTAATATCATTGCTTAACATGCTCTTTTGTCGGAACTTTGTTTCACTTTGTTGAAGTAAGAGACTCTCGCACAATAAAATATTTGTCAATTAGTTTTTGGCGTGGTGTTTGTATATTTATATTTATTTTTGAAAGAATGTTGACAACAGACAAAATTATACAGGGAAACTTCTCTTTTTTGACAAAAAGATGACGTTACAAAATGACATTGCCTACCAATATTTAATGCTCGCAATTGTACTATTACAAACTATCCTATGACGAACTATATAGGGTATTTCACAACTCATAATAAGCCTGACGGAATTGAAAATTCAACCCAAAATTCATTTGCAAAGTTAACGTGGATATTTTAGATATCGCATTGTTTCCAATAATTTTATTTGTCACAACTCACATTAAATTTACGAAAAAGTCAAAATGCATTCGAACAATGAGAAAAGAGATTTGAGCGTTTGTAAAGACAATGTTTCTCGAATAGAAAAGCTCCAAAAAGGTTTGAATAACTTAAGTGTTTTCCCAATGGTGGAAAAACAAATAACCTTAAAAATTGTGTGTCCTGCCTTGTCAATTAATTTGTGTCAGTCACGCGATAACTATTAATTATTATTAATTTTAAAATTCATAATCAGAATTCATGAATCCTATGCAAATGTATTGCTGGCTACAGTTCAAATTTGGTCAGGCTCATTATTACTCGTGAAATACCCTGTATTTTTAACCTTTTTTTAACATTCTTTATTAATCTTTTAATTCAATCTTTTTCCCACCCGTAGTTTGCTGGAGAAGGTGTAATTAATCCGAAACTAGTCCTTGTCCAAATTTAATCTTTTTATTTTATCCCGCTTAGGTCGATATTGAACTATAGGTACTGTAAAAAAATAAATCGTAATTAAAAATTATTACAAAAATATCATAACCTTTTGATGGCCTTAGGTACAATATTTAAATTTGAAATTTTTTCTACGTGTCGTTTAAAAGTAAATTTAAAAAAAATCTGTTTTTGGCCATTAAGAAACTGTACGGAAAATTTTTTTGATTTATTTTTGGTGTATTTTAGATTACCTATACTTAAATTATAGTATTTTTTTCATGCAATTTGAACTATACGTTTTTTCATAAAAAAATAAAAACTATTGAATTTTGTACTTCATAAAACTTAATCCAACTTACACTGAAATATTTTTTTACTGTAGAGTAGAGTGCCTTTTACGTGACAAATACAACAAAAAGTTATTAAGAAAAATTGTTTGGAATCAACATCTAAGCTAAGTGTATTAAATTTCAAAATCATCGGCCAACTATGATTTTTAATTTGTTTAAATTGTAGTTTAATGTAACTTCCCATTATTGTGTTGGTATTTCAGTTACTTCTGTTTTTTATTATTTAATGTCAAAACTGACAAATTGTAACTCTGTTCGCTAACATTTCACATTTAAAACAAAGTATCTGCTTTTTAATTATTGTTTGACTGTACCCACAAATGACTTCTTTGAACAGCCCTCCCGAATGACTTGCTCTCCATACATATTATGTAACTTAAAAATATCGTTTTTTAAAGACAATTGAAGACGTGTGTGTAAAAGTTTCTAAAACATAATGAAAAAATTATAGTGTCAGATTCGGTGTTTTTCGTTAGTTTAATTTTCACAATTACTACTCTTCTCTAAAATTAAAATAAAGTGAAAACAATTTCAAGCAGTTTTCAGTATGTAATGCTTATGTAAGCATTTAGTTAATAATAGTAGGTACAGGTTCCAACGCGAGGTGTAATTTAATTTTTTACAAAATAAAGTTCGAACATTGCCATTATGTCATTAAACATAGAATACAGTAATAATATCTGTCGAATGTTCGCCTCTGGATCTTTGGTAGGAAAGCATGCTTTTACGAAAGAAAAGATAAAAAAAACAAAATGTCTTAATCATTTTGGGAAGGTGTCGACTTCACCGCCTTTACCATTTTACTTTCGCATTTTTTTAAAGCTACAGGAGTTACGAGCTAATTCTATTTATTGTTCCAAGTAATTTCAAGTAATTTGGTTCCAAATGAATGAAATGTTAATAATTTTTCTGATAATTTTTTAATGTAAATCAAATTTACTCTGATGATGGCGTTAATTGCCGAAACATGTTTCTACGACGTATTTTTTTTTTACAATTAGGGAAGCTTTAATTCTTTCAATTATATAAGAAAACGACCATTTTGCAGATTTAAACCAGAACAGAGATGTAACACATAAACAACTAAAAGTTCGATTAAGAGTTCTTGTTTGTATTGTTATGTAAATTTATGTTATTATTATCAGAATATAAAAAAATAGTTTTTCACACGTATACTTGAGTTATTTCTATTAAAAAAATGGAGTACTATCGAACATTTCTAAGGTATTTTGTAGATACTAATAAGTCTTTAAGTGAATGAAAGCATGAAAATAAATCAAATAATGTAAAAAAATCATTTTGTAAAAAATTGTTGGGGACTGTGTTTTTGCTTATATTAGGACAGCTGAAATAATATTACCTACGGAAAAATTTTTATAAGGAAAATTCACTAAAAGAAATTATTAAGAGTCATAAATATGGCTTTTGTGAGATTTAATAAAGGAGGTATGTAGACAATCCTTGTTTAATTTATGATTTACTTTTTATAATCAAAATGATTAAAACGAATTTGAGAAACTTATCTTCGTCAATGAAATTGTTAGATATGTTAGAAATTAGACGCTTGCAACTAAAACTCAGGTTGTAAAATTCTTTATTTTGAAAAATATTTTTTTATGAAGTAAACGTTTGTAAAAGTAAAATGCAAAACTTTTAATAATTAACAGATCCAAATTAATTTCAAAAATTTTTGTTTACATTTGTAAACAATCTATTTTGATCATAACAAGATTGCTAATTTTATAATCATTTGCTTTTTATACTTGAACATTTTTTAGAACATAATAGAAATAGCTCAATTAATGTGTATGTACATTCTTAACTTTTTTTCATAACTTTCTTTAATTACTTCATTCATTCCGACTTAGTCTTTGTTTTACATAATGTTAAAAATAATTAAAACATAAACAAGTTATGATAAAAACAAAAACCATATTTTATCGTAAGATCTACTTCAAAACCACGGAACTTAAAAACACTTGACATTAGTTTGTTGTTTAGTTATCGACATTCTAACTATTGACATTCTGTAAGATGCTATTAAAATTAAGCAAAACACTATTATCAATTGCTAATCATTGTTATCAATATTTAACCGCTTTTACTTTTAGAACTTATTCAAAGCCGATAAGATAAAATTTGATCAAAACAAAATAAAACTTCCTTCACTTTAATTAAAAACACTCGAAATTAAACAAACAAAAATTACTATTTTTACGATTATCTTTCAAGTGTCTTTAAAGTATCTTAATTAGTAATCATTTAGTAACATACCTGAGCCGCCATAATCCTTTGCCTTTCCTTGATTAGACCACATTTAGCACAAGAACAATTTTTGTAAATACATTGTTTCTTGTGGCCTCTTAAAGTTGAAATCATTCCGTGATTTCTGCATCTTGCACATTTTGGTACTCGAGCTGATCGACTATTCGATAACATTTCAACTTTGAAGAATTATACGGAAATAAACATTTGCAAACAGAATAACGGCAACTCACGAATGGATAACAATCTGTATATAAAAGAATACAAGAATAGATAGATACGAGCTGAAGATTTCAGTCATGACAAAGATACAGCATCATGATACAGCCAATAGGATAAAGCGTTATCCTGCCGACGTCTACATAGGATACGGAAGCCACCAATCGCTGCTCGTTATGTGCTAACACCTGAAAGTTACGCCCTAAACGAATTAAAAATAATTTTCATAAACTCAGGTGGAGCTTTTAACTACTGAAATAGACTGTTGATTTCGAAAAAATGCAAACTCATGATGGGTGATTTATTTGAAATGTTTAACAGATTTCAAGAGTAACACTAATTGACTGTGTTACTCACAAATAAATCAGTCTAATTTCAGAAATCCTTCTGTTACTTAGAACAGTGCGATTACTTCAAGTTGCAACATTTCAACTTCCAAACGAAAAAAAAAATTATATTTGCATTATTTTACACTTATACAATACAACGTGAAAAATAATTTTATTTAAAAAATCATATTTTTTTCCTCCGAGAAATAAAAAATGTTGATGCATTCTAATGCTTGTGTAGTTTTGCTATGCTGAAAGCAGTCTCGCTGGTGTTGTGTGTGACGTATTACTGTCAGTTTGTTAAATAAACATTAGTCCATTAGATTGTTGCATCACATATGTCACTGCGACCACCCAGTATGCACCTGAAAAAAACCATTACTGCAAAAATTACATATGATCCACCCACTGTTTATTTTTTCAGTGAGACGAACTTTATCCACCTCTTCAGAACCTCTCTCTTGTCTCTTTACCATATTTAATCACAAACCAATAAAGCCTCAAAGTAAAAAAATAGATAATCTCGATAAAACTTAACACACTGCAGCCTAAAAATAAGCCAGCCATTCCGCCAATGTAAACTGCGGGTATTTTAACTCAGAATTAATTTTAATTTTGTCGAAATTTTTGGCCATTACCAAGTAGGTCGGAAAAACCAAAAATTATGTCACGACGTAAACGCATTTTAGGATATTCTTTGAGGCCCCATTGCAGATTCGATCCTAAAAACCATTCTCGGGTATCCATATCTTCAATAATGTAGTTAACTTCATCGCAGTTGGGAAGACAAGAGCATTCGCCTTTGAGAAGGATCAGTTTTTCTTTATGTTTTGCCAAACAGTGGAGGCCGAGGATGTTGCAAATTTTTTGACCTTCTGAACAGTTTATTTTTAAAAATTAACGCATCAAAACATTTCAAAAAACTTTGAAAGATGAAAAAGAAAGATGAAATTAAAAGCCAAATATTTTATCAAAAAAAATGGTATAAATTAAAAATAAATTCTAATTGCAGAGTAAGACTGTGACTGAATGACAATAAAATAGCCTACTCTGGTCTAAAACAAAAATAAATACAGATATAGCACGTGCATGAGCAAATAAATTTCGGATTAAAGTCGACTCTGAAAAACAAAATTCGACTCTTATTTGCTTGATTTACAAAAATTTGTGCTGTCATCATTTGTCAAATAAAAGATAATGCGTCTATAAATTAAAACTTTATAAGTTTCTAAATTATTTACAAGTTAAAAGCAAGTTTTATAAACGAAAAAAATTATGGTAAAAAATAAAAATAATACAGGCTATCCCACTGACGACTTTCGGGTCTAATGTCTCTGCTATTTGTCAACGGATTTTTATTAAATTTAAAATGTAGGCAACTTAGAAGGTGGAGATTCAATTAGTATTAATAAAATTAGCTCAAGATAAAAAAATAATTTAACACATTATCTCAATTTAAAATTAAGCGTAACTACATACTATCATATTGTTAAGCACTAAAAAATAGTCCTCTACACAATTAAATTAGAACACTTTTAGAACTTTTAGTTTGATTGATGCCATTGGTGGTACCTTTGTATTGAACTAATTAGTCCAATAAATACAGTTCCTAAATTACGTTAACAATTAACAATTTGATATACATTGTAAGTAGTTTAGCATTTTTAAAAGACATGTTAAAATCACATTTGACGGACTAGGATTATTTTAGTAATGCGGTATTTATTTCTACCTAGTAAATAATCTACATTTTAAATTTAGTTAGAATACGTCGGCAAGTCTTAGGTGAGACACCTTGTATATACAGGCTGCGCCAGAACTCACGCCCCAGAGAAAAATGCCATGTAAGGTAAGAGATACCATCAAGAACATAGAAAAAATGTTAAAAAAATTCTATGCATAAAAATTTCGAAGTTATGAGAATTTAAATTTTGCACTTTAACTCTATTTATTTCTGTTGGAGAAATAATTTGCCAAATTTTTTGCTACAGGTTATTAGACGAGAGAACAAGGAAGCTGATGTATCCTAAAATGTAACTGTGTTTAATGTTATTTGTGACTTTTATTGATACCTTTACTAAATAATTATAACCAAAATGTATATAAGATCATCAGTAACATTAAATCATGGACCTAGTATGATCAATACTACCTTCATGCATTAAGTAGACATAAAAAAATGTCAAATATCAAAATTTTTAGACAGATAGAGTTCTTTAAACATTTTTTGCATGTTCTTGGTATCTAATCTACTTAAAATTTGTCTCCGGGGCGCGGGATTTGAAACACCCTGTACATTTGTAAAACTGCAAAAATTTAGATTAGACATATGTTTAATCTACATTCAAAAAATTGTAACACTTAAAATTATAGAAATTGAAAGAAAATCCTTATTTTTGTCTTCTGAGACAGAAATAAGATTTTGTTTTAATTTCAAACAAAAATTCATCTGTCCACGAACGTTTGACATAAATGTCCCGCCAAAACATTATGAATTTTATTCGGCACTTTTGACTAACTCTCTTTATTAAATTGTATTTATTTTTCGATACTGTCAAAATTTACGGTTTTTCTCCCGTGTAAGGAAGTTTTAACAACCATTTGGCATTTGGCATATTTTTACCAGATTTTAAAGCAAGTTTAAGCATTGTTGAGTCTAATCCGAAGAATAAAATGTTGTATTCAACTCGTTTGAATGTAAATCGGACGCTTTATTCCAACTCGTGGTTTAAAAATCCACTCTGTGAAATAATGGGTCTGATTTACACTCAAACTCGTAGAATAAATAACTATTTTTTAATTAATTCAATTTATAATATTAAATTATTGCAATTATATAAAATATGGTGTTTATACTACGTACACGTATGAAAAGGAGAATATTAATTAAAATTAATGTTAAATTTTGCTTTGAACACTTTAAATAAAAATTTTCTCACCCAGTTTTCTATAAAAGTGTGGGACACAACCACATAACCGTTTGGCCAATGCAGCCCGGCACTCCATTCGACATAAAACATAAGAATACGCAGGAGAATGTTTTAAATTGCTTTCGTCGTAAAATCTACACTTTCGTTGCTTGATTGTTAAATATCTAATATTATCGCTACTAAAAATTGTCAAACCAGATAAAGACATTTGTAAGAAATTACCATTAGGAGACGTAATTTTTTTACTTGCTATATCGGCAACTTCATATGGGCCGTGAACATAAATCTAAAATTTCTAAATATGTTAAATTCATACATGTTTTTTACAATACATCAAAACCGGTAGACATATTCATAACATTCGCAAAAACTTCTCCATCTAAAGGATTTACGTAAAAAGTTTCATTACCCTCAATTAAATCCCAGTTTCCTTCATCCCAATAACTATATTTGATAAGTTTTAATATAAATAACACATACCTATAAAAAAAACTTACTCAGGGGAATTGTAAATCGCTAATTTTGAATTGAAACTGTAGCAAATGCCCATTTCGGAAACAATTTTCTGCAAAGTGTACTTTTTGTCGTTGCCTCCCGAATTAGAAACGGCAGGTTTAAACTCAAACTGCAAATCCAACAAAATATCTAAATAATTCTCCTCCGCAATACCCTCATATTCGACAACAGTTTCAAAATTAGTATAAGTAGCTTGAGATAAAGTTACCAAAAACTCTCTCAGAAGCGTTTTGTTCTTCTCTGTCGAGCTTTGAACATACAATTCAAGTAAAGGCTCATTGATTTTATAAGTGGGACAAATTGTAGCAGCTGGAAAAGTGGTATTCCATGAAAATCTGTCCCTTTCCATCGAAATCACAGTTGGATTTTCCGTATATCTTCTCAAAGTTATACTGCTAAGAACTATAGCTCCATAAATTGCTGCTCCGACAATTACTATCCAAATGATCAATTCGACTGGATGGCGCTTCCTTGCTGACATATGAGGAAAACCATGAATCGAACTTTGAGCAAAAAACATTTTAATAAAATCTATCAACATTTTGCCTCTGACTCTACGTCCTGCCATGTTGGTGGTTGAACTTGAATAGTCATGAGAGTCATAATGGTCATAGGGGATAATTTTATGAATATTTTATTCCCTGAATAAAGCGATACAATGATGGCATTGTATTGTTTGTAACAAAAGATGGAAATTGAAATAAAAATGATGTTATTTACAATCACAAGGAATATTTCAGAAGGAAGAAAAAAAACATAATTTAATGGCTAAAAATTAATCGACTAAAATAAAAAAAAATAAATTAAAACAGTTCTGTTTTCTTTTTGCGCAACAGAAACGCAAATGTGTCAAAAAAAAAGAATGAAAATGTAGCGGCCGCAAAAAATCTTTTCATGCTCCAGTTTTGTAAAACATGCTTTACTATAATCATTTTAGGTTTGGAAAGTATCGTTTTAACAGACTAGTCCTTTGGATATTTTTTACCGAATTAGTATCAAAGCTTTATACCTAAGAATCCGGTAAGTGAGCTATTACAATATCAAAAGTAAGTATAACTTAACAATACTTATCGGATCGTTATTTTTGATACAACAAAACGACAAATCAACTACATAAAAAATTTTAAACTCACCGAGTCTGTCAAGAGATAATTTATAAGACTTGTTTAGCTACTTGTTCCGACTAATTACGTTAACTATTAACTAAGTACTTAAACTATCCTGTTTTTTCGAAAAAACCATCAACATTTTTTTATATTCCAAAAATCTCACAATATTTACAAAGTAAACCCCACAGAAGAAAAAATAAAGCAAAAAACATTTAGGACAAAAAAAATTATCGATAAGAATTGAAAAAAATTTAACAAAAATTAATTAAGGGAACCCCTTACAAAGTAAACTTAAGTTTACTGGAAAAAAGAAAGAAAGGATAAAACAATAATTGTCACAAAACTCAAAATAATTGAGTATAATTTTTATGAATATTTTATTTGCAGAACAAAGCAGTGCGATACAATGCTAGTATTGTGTTGTTTGTAACAAAAGTCGAAAATTTGTTACAGCTGAAACGTGGGTGGCCTCTCACATGTGCGTCAGTAATAAGACTAATGGATTTTTGTTTATTTAAACGTTCTTTCTCCTCGCATTATACGGATCATAGGAAACGCCACTTAATTATTCGACTGCACTTTTTTCGGTATCTTAAAAAACAAACTTGCAATATTTAAAAGAGGCAATTCGTAGAACATTGTGAAGAAGAAGCTGACTAGTACGACTAACAGTAAATCGGCACAACTGTCATATATCTAAAAATGGCGTATTTACAAAAAAATTAATTAATTGTTGACGTACAGTTGAAAAATTTGAAAAGTAAATGGGCATTTTGTTAGCCCCATTTTTGAAGAGTTGTAAAATTAAATGAAGAAGAAAACACCCGTATGATATTCTTCCCAAGACTCGAAACGCAAATGCGCTTAAAAAATCGTTAATAATGCCTCCATAACCATTAACACAAGACCATATTATCCAAATAACTCCAAAAGTCCAAGCTGACCTAGAACATGACAAAAAGAGTGACGCTTCCAATCGATTAAAATCATGATTTTCCATTTGAAAACTGTAATTGCCAACCACAGACACAGTCATAAGAGTTGCAGCCACCAACCAGCCACTCAAAATCGTAAAAAAATTCATCTTTATTTTCTTTTCTTTTAAAGTAAAAAGATAAAATCCATAAAGCACTCCTAGGATATAAGGAGGTGCTCGAGTATGAGGAGTGATATAATGTTGTTGAAAATATTTTGTTTCAAACAATTGATTCGTTATCGGCATTCCTCCCTCATATTCATTAATCCAAGCGAAATAGAAACTAATTGCGACCGATAAGATGTACAAGGAAACACAAACAATTAAACCAAATATTCGATTCTTCCAAAGAGGATATAAAAGTATTGGTGAAAAATAAAAAAATATCATATCGCAAGTTAGGGACCAGGTTTGCAAAATGCACTAAAATGTAAGATTGTACAATGTGAATTAAAGTTTCTACTCCCTACCAAAGCATGTGGATTGGTGTAACTCTGGATGTGTAAAAGTGTAGACCACCAGTAATACTTGCAAGGTTCCAAGTGAGCCATGCACGTGTCGTACCATAACGGTCCGGAACCCAAAAATTGGATCAGAGTTGCATAAATTAATACAACAATAGCAAGTGGGGGGGTTATTCGAAAGTACCGATAAAGGTAAAAGGTTAGTACGTTGAAAGTACCATTTTTTGTAACATGCTCGAAGAAACTGATGCTCACTAAAAGACCACTTATCATGAAGAACGTGTCAACGCAAATGGTACCACCAATTATTATAGTACTGGAGTAATTCAAGATCCACTACAATCATCATTATTACAACTAAATTAATTAAGGAGTCTATTACATCCAAAATTTCTAAACCGTTAATCACTGGTGAGAACATGGCCATTAAGTACCGATGGCCTATAATAACATAACAGGTGCTCAAAAAACGCAGTCCGTGGATGCAATCTAGGTCGTTGGGTCTTCTTCGTGATACTATCTTTTGGTAATTGGAAGTGATCGAAAATGCAGATATTAAAGAGTTCTTTGACATCACCGCATCCAATATGGTACTAATCAAACTCACTCCAATAAATATAAGCAAAATTGCTCTACAAATGAATTAAACAAATTGTTATTCACAAATTAAAAATTTCTCACAGAGAAACATATTGAGCCAAACCCATTGTAAGACTGTCCTCCTCACTAAGGCAGTGATGTTCGTCTAAACTTGCATTCAAGTTTAAACCTTCAGTCATTTCGCTAATAATTTTCTTAAAATGTCGTAAAATATCGTTAGTGGGACACGAGTCTGGTACACACACTGACCAAAAGAAAGCAGACTTTTCGACAATTAATTTAATTTTTGGGAACCTTTTTTCGGTTACATTTCGAAACGAGAGAATTTTTTTAATTAAATTCAAGTTTGGTGTTATTTTAATCAAACAATGCTTTCCTTTAATTTCATCAAATCTGATCTGAATGCATTGTTTGTAACTCCCAAATTCGACTAAATTTCCTAGAAGAATGCCAGGTTGGATTTTAGATGAAGAATCAAACACTAAAATTAAAAAAGTAGATACTACAAAAAATTAAAAAAAAATGAGACAACACTATTTAGAGCCCATGATTCAAATGATCTTAACCCATTTCTGTAAAGATTGGAATGGTTTTTACACAGCGAATTTTGTGCATTATCTAAAGCATAAGTGGCCAAAACTTGGTTCATTAGTAGTCCTTGTTTCATTGTTAATTTTACTGAATTCACTGAAATAATAAGAAAATTGCAATAGAAATAAAGGTATATGTAGAGAGTCATTTTGCTACTGCTATTCTCTCTTTTATTTCCCCAATTTTTATACTCTGTTTGATTATAAGCCTCAACTATCTATCAAGTAAGTTCTAATAACGTGTCACGAGGGAAATGTTTTCCAAGAATTCCGCCAACTCCACTGAAGAAATATCGGTTTTTTCCATAGTCAATTTCGATGATTCTTTATCATGTTTTTTCTCTGTTACTATCTGAGGTTGTCGACGTTACTCTGGTGTTGTAATGTTTGTTACGTTATAATTGCAAGATTATGTACTTATTTCTGATCAAAAAACAATAATACTTAAAGTGTTCGATAAAAATCAGGTCAAGGGTTAGTTACGTTTAAAGATATCTTCTCATTTTACGGTTGTTTGTTTAAAAATTGATAAATATTCTTGTAATCTCTCTTGAAACTTTAGTTTATTGAAAATGCTCGGTGGGAGCTGTGACATATTCGACAATCAAGAACCAATAGCAGGAAGTAAAGAAGAAAAAAACAAACAGAAGAAAAAAGTTAAATAGAAACACTGGGTCAAAAAATTATTGAGAAAATTCTCGAAATGTTTCGAATCGGAAAATATATTTCTCCCAAGCGTGAATCGCTGTTGAGAACATATGTAAGTATAAAAAATAAAAATAGTTTACTCATTTTACATTTCACTTCACATTTGAGTATTATTACATCATACTTATAAGTAATAAAATTGTCGAAATTTTCATACAAAGTTAAAAACTTCCTAATTGCACTAAAATACGTTGATATAATTTGCCTCACAAAGTTTGATAAGACTTATCATACTCTCAAGAATTTCAGTGATAAGTAGTAGATAAGTAGTAGATAAGTTTTTCTAAAAATAACATCATTCTATATATTTACTATTTTTGCAATGTAGTATAGACAAGGAAGAATTTTTTCCATATACTCGCAGTACCATGTAGGTATGTACTCGTAATTATGAAAGAATACGAAGGCTATTTTTTCCAGCACCAATTGATTCAAAATTTGATTTCAAAAAATCTAAAAATTTACTTATCTTATTAGTTTTCAACATTTTGTAAGGATGTTAATAAAGACAAAAAATAATAATTTATTTCTAATTCAGTGAAGGATTTACGACCTAAAAATTTCTCCGATTTTTTTTAAATCACAAAAAATGAATTATAGAACCGCCAGACAATTCCAACGGCATTTTGACTGTTGTATCGTGTTCTACCTGCGATTTTACGTCTAGAAAGGCACATTAATTAAAAGTCTCTAGACCAGTTTTACAATTTTTTAGATAATAATTTCCAAATAAAAAAACGAAAAAATTGTAGGACAATCTTAACACTACATATTTATCGTGGAGTAATTTATAATTTTGTTTGATCTTTTATTTGTGTTAGCCAATTTACAAGCAGAAAGTTATAGGTAGTTATAGGTATAAATATAGAAAGTATAGATATAAAATATAAGATTAATAGAAGAATAAAATTATTTTTATACTAAAATTTATTTTTTACTATCAAACATACTTCCAACATTTGTACTATTATTCAGATTGTTCAAAATAGAAAAAAATAGTTTTTTTCTACTTAACCGTGCATTTTATGTGGACACTAAAACCCTCTCAAGAGTACAGTAATTTGTTTTTTTTTTCAAAATTTTTAAGACCGTTCCAAATCTGTAAAAAACAAATTCAATCGACCGAAAGGTTTCTGCCTTGTTATTTAAATGTTCTCAATTAAGTGAAATTTATTTAGCATCAGATTTATCCATTGTTGCCAAATTTGATCAGAAAAACTGAACACATAGTATTTGCAAATAACATCTAAAAAATTATTCAACACAAATAATCATTAATAGAACAAATAAAATTGTTAAAAAAAGCAATAAATAATATTTTTACAGATAACGTAGCGATTTTTTACTACAAGTAACTCTTGAACTTATAAACTATTCACTTTTTTTATTTATTAACAAATTAATCTGGCGAATCTGATAAAATTTGCTTTTTATTTATTTATAATGTTCCTGACAAAGGTTGATAAGACTTATCTCAGATAAATCTCTCAAAAAACACACATCATTTTTGTAATGTCGTTTTCAGGCAACGAAGAAAATCATCGCCATCCGACGGGAAGACCAAAGTGTTTGGGAACGTCGAGCCCCTTTTTCACCTTCTCATGTCCGCAAATTAGTCAAAACAGGCGTCAAAGTCATAGTACAACCGAGCAATCGTCGCGCTTACCCTATGCAGTCATACCTCAACGCAGGAGCCATAATCCAAGAAGACATATCAGAAGCTAATATTATTTTTGGAGTAAAACAAGTACCCATCGATCAACTAATCCCTGATAAGACTTATTGTATATTCTCACACACTATTAAGGCCCAAGAATCCAATATGCCTCTTCTTGACGCAATTTTAGAAAAACGCATAAGACTAATCGATTACGAAAAACTAATGGATGAGAAAGGCCAAAGAGTTGTGGCTTTTGGAAAAATGGCAGGAATTGCAGGAACTGTAAACATTTTTCACGGCTTAGGTTTGAGACTTCTCGCTTTGGGTCACCACACACCGTTCATGCACATCGGGCCAGCTCATAATTATCGCAATTCAAGTATGGCAAAGCAAGCAGTTCGAGATGCAGGTTACGAAATAGCTCTGGGATTGATGCCCAAGTCGATTGGACCGTTAACTGTGGTGTTTACCGGCTCAGGAAACGTGTCTCAGGGTTCTCAAGAGGTGTTCCAAGAGCTACCACATGAATACGTAGCTCCTGAGTCTTTAAAGAAAGCGGCAGAACATGGCAGTCTAAATAAAGTTTACGCTTGTGAGGTGCGAAGAAGACATTACTTGGAACGCGCTGAAGGCGGTGGTTTTGACTCTGTTGAGTATGAAGAGCATCCAGAACGTTACATTTCCACTTTTAGTAAAAAAATTGCACCATACGCTTCCATTATCATCAATGGAATCTACTGGGCTGTTAATAGTCCGAAACTTATGACTATTCCTGATGCCAAACATTTGTTAAGGCCCGCCCACACTCCCTGGCTACCAACTTCAATCGGTGCTCCAGCTTTGCCTCACCGGATGTTGGCTATATGTGATATTTCGGCTGATCCTGGTGGCTCGATTGAATTTATGAATGAATGTACGACAATTGATACACCATTTTGCCTGTACGATGCAGATAGAAATAAAGATACAAAGAGTTTTAACGGACCCGGAGTCTTAGTATGTAGCATAGATAATATGCCTACGCAAATTCCAAGAGAAAGTACCGACTTTTTTGGAGATTTGTTGTTTCCCTATGCACAAGATATCATGAAATCTAACGCGCAACAACCTCTAGAAAGTCACAGTTTTTGTCCAGCTGTTGATGGGGTGAGTATACAAGGCGTCCAGCAAGTTGATCAAGTCTATGATCTTTATACATATGTTAAAATATACATATAACAATGCATATACAAAAGTCATAGATATTAAGTCACTGCGTCACCTGAGCTGAAATAATGATTTTTTTTGACAAAAGCACTTTTGCAGTACACAAAAATTTAGCTATTTTTGAAAAATAAGATTTTTACTGCTTTAAAGAAAAAAGTTCAAATTTTAAAGTTAATAATATGTTTGTTAAAAATAAAAGAAATAGCCTATTTTTTGTTTTTGCACTTAACAGTTTATTACTACAGAGTGATTATAAATAATTTTCATCTAGCCAGCTGTCAATTTTCCATGTAAAATAAAAAATGCCGCTTTACGAAAATAGGGGTACCTACTTGTTTTAACTCAAAATTAAAAAATCGCCGTTTACTAAGCGTCCACTTCAATTCAATTATAGACTTCAATTATAAACTTGTTTTCTTCCAAAGTATCCATCATTATCAATT